TTCCTAGTTCACTAAGTAGATTTATCGTCTATATATTTTTTGGTGAAGATACCACTACCACTGCTCATCTTTGGCTTAACTCCAAAGTTTGTTTATGGTTTCCTTCTGAAGAGCTGCCAGTGTCCAGCGACTGTTTGGAACAAGTAATTGAAAATTCTGTGAAACTGATTATGAGCTCAACCGAGTATTAAAAAAAAAAAAAAAAAAAGAAGAGATAGACTACAAGAAACCAAAAGGGACATTAAATTATGCAGGAAGCCTCTTCATGATAAAACCACACATTTAAATCTAGTTAAGTGACACACAAACAAGAGCATGTTAAAAGAAAGGCTAATATTGACACTGTAGCCTAGATGCCTAATTGCTCACCATGCCTGTGTTACTCTCAAAGCAGGCAGCCAGCTGTAAACATATCAATGACTGAAAAACTACATTATTGATGAAGGAGATACCACACAATGGCAAAGCTGATGTCTCATACACAGAGTTTGAAATGAACACCAGCTATCCAAAGGACAGCAATATCAATGGTGGTAAAACAAAGAAAAGGTAACCTTTTCTAAGACGATGTTAACTTGTGTGTTTTGTGTAAAAAGGTGCCTTACGATATCATTGGTGTCCGGCGTTCATTGTCAAGTTTTAAAAACCTCCGAAAAATCATAACTGAGATTTGCGATTGTATGTCAACAAATCATGCTGAACTTAATATTTACCGTAGAAACACAAAAGAGAACATATTGGTTAAAAACATCCATTCTTTTCTACTAGCCAATCAACATGTTTGGTTAGTGGTAAAGAGTTCCACGCCTTACACCTGATTTGCTACCAACTATGTCTGTCATCCGTGTAACCACGCCCACATTACAAACGACTTCCGCTTCTGTGTCAACCGAAGGCTACACACTAATTTCTGCTCATGTCTCCGGACTTGACACCCTCCACACACCACCGAGGTAAGACCAGAGCCATTTTTTTTGTCTTAGTTCTTCTGTTGTGTTTTCAAGGCCACACATTTTGCTTTCCCTTGTGTGTACTATGACAATGAGGGTTGCTAACTATGCTACTTAGCTTACTTTTTCAGCCATCACCGCTAGCTGTCAAAAGGCTCCACAGCGTCCTGTCAGCTGTCAGCTCGGTGTGAGTGTGTTTGTTAATATGGTACCACATATTCCTATTTAATTGCCTTGCCCCTATTTTAAATTGTTGTCAGGGGGTTGGTTGAGTTTAAAATGCGCAAGCCAGTTCATTGCTAGAATGTAATTTGCTAATGTTAGCAAGAAAACTGTTCACGTTAGCATAGCATTTGGGATGGGTTAGTCTGGGCACTTCATAGTTGTGAGGACAAGTTAACAGCTTTCCGTGGGTGACATAACTACTCTATGTCATTTCGCTCTCTCTATTGTACAAAAAAAACATACTTGTAAGTTCTGAATTTAGACTGTCACTTCTAATCTGCCAAAGGTAAAATGTGAGGCAGACTTACTAAGAGTCACAGGAGCAAAGGACGGACGAAGAAGAGTTTATAATAGAGAAGGAGAGACAGGTTGCTGTTTGAAACCCCTCGGACTCCCTTGGTAACGTTTAGAGAGATTAGCGATGAAACACCTATGCCACTAGCAGCACTTACCTCATGCGTAGGTTAAAGTCACCGCTTATCGCTTTTTACAACTTCAGCCACAGTGGGAATGTTCCCCTGCCTGTTTCTCCACCTCTATCTAGATGTGACCCACAGGGCAGACTAAACACAGCTTTGTCTTCTAATGTCGGTGCACTGTAAGTCATTGACATCAAGGTTTTCACTGACACAGCAGGCTCTCCTTGAGCAGACATGTCCCCCAGGGGCACAGATTGTGTTGCTGCGTCAACTGACCTCAGATGGTGGTGACGATTCCCCCGGAAAAGTACAACACAGACAAAAGTCAGTTAGGATAGACACTTCTATAATTTTGTTTTTTATGCAAAAAATATTTTGACTACCTCAGGAACATTACAATGACACACGAAAGTGCAGACAGATGTTTGATAAAATAAAGGATACTTCATCCTGTTAGCATTAACAGGAGATATGTTAAAGAGAGATAAAGTACAAGAGTTGAGCTGCAGTTTTATTGCTTTGTATTTTTCCACACGTGATGTTTTCTTTTTAATTAAGAAACATTTTCTTACAAACTATTAAAAAATTGTTGAAAAAAACGTTTTGTTATGGCGCTATACTGTACATGAAAATATGCAAGTTGTTGTATTCCTCTTCAAATATTCCACTTAAAAACATGTCATACACAGTACAAATCATGACAATAACATTAAAGATCTAATGATTTAAATAACAATTTGCTGTCCGTGGGAAGGCAGGCAGCTGCTGGTTTCTTACATTACATGAGACGCCAGACAGTTCTCCCTGGAATTACAGCTGTTGTCATTTTGTTATACATCTTCCTCCCAAAGGTGCCCTAATTGTCCCCTGAGTTAGTTGCTATGGAAATTGTCTCCATTTGAGAGGGGAGCATCACATTTTATCAACAGACTGCCTTCCATCCGACAGAACAGTAGAGTGAAACAGGTCGGCATGCATAAGAGATGTTTGTATTTGGTGGTTGCCTTAAGTGTTGATTTTGTAAACACCTTGCAGGGCATTTCAGTTTGAGTTCCTGTAGTTACATTAGGGAACAGGAAAGTGATTTTGTAAGGCATGTCTCAAACACTGTTGAGAGGGATATTGCAGTGATGGCAGTGCAGACACAGGCTAAAGCAGATTTAACGTCAGAGGTCAAATTGACTATTTCTCATGTATTTTCAGGATTTGAGATATATCTGGATGCAGCGAAATAATTACTGTAGATTTCAAAGTTCTGCTGCCTGTAAAATCAGATGTTTTCTTCACGATCAGTAACTGTGTGAAGCATTTAAAGAAGAGGCACTGAGAGAGTTCTCACTCTTCATTACACTGGACTTCATTTTCTTTCTGTGTGTGTCATATCTGCAGTGTGCTGGTTCCACATGGGGATAAGACAAAGTTTGAGTTTACAATAATCTAGGCAACCATCCAGGCAACAGAGAAGCAATACTGTATAATTTATGATAGAGCAAAGTAACAAGCAGCCAATTAGGAGCCTGTCTGTTACGCAGGCAGTGTGTTGTTTTGCTCTGCTATGATTGGCTCACGGTCACAGGGAGTGCATGTTGGGCTAAAATGGATAAACTGTAAGATCTGGCCTTTTGTGTGTTGGGCATGAAATTATTGAAAGATCAGTAATTCTTCAATATGAAACTGTGTGATCATTATTTTCTGAGATCTGTGAGAGTTGCACCACGGTAAAAAACAACTGAAAGAAGGCAAGAACAATGTTATTCCGTGTAAATTCAAAGGTTATCTTGTCCTGATAACCTCTCAGAAAAAAAAAGAATCTGCCCAAACTGTGCTTTACTAGCTGAACCAATCATAAAACAGGGTGGAATCGCAAACAATGTTGATCACAGAACTTGCCTTTGTGCGTGTGTTTTACATGCAGTACTGAGCTAGGAGTGTCACCCGTGTTTGCATTTCAGGGTGGACACATAAAAGAAGTTTCAGGAAGGTGAGATGCTGAGCAGACTTTCTATCTTTAAACCTGTGTGAAAGTAAGACTCATCCTAGCAGGTTTTACCTCCCGGCAGCAGGTATTGCTGGAACGTGCTGACTCACGCTACACTGAATGGAGGTTTGTGTGTGTGTGACCGACTGTGTGCTCAGCATCCTGCTCAGAATGAGACAGTGTTGTGTTCCCAGAGGATATACATTGAGTTCCTGCAGATAAGAACATGAGGGGAGCGTTACAGAGGCTGAATTCTACACTTGTTTTCATTCTTGAATCCTTCTTATGTTCGTAACATTATCCAGTATGGCAATGCTCATATGTTGGCTTTAAGTTCCAGTGAATTATCACACTGACAGAGTCAGAGTTGCTGTTCTAGTCCAGTATAAGTTCTTTGTCAACCACATTTTCCTCGCTTATCTCTTCTTCCCCAGCTTTTAAGTGATGTTATAATTGCCACTAAATTAACATGAACTAATCAGATGGCATGTGCTTCACACTAGTACTCGTGCCTCTTCTGATTGAACTGATATCAATTGATTCAGGCAGTTTATGTATATGTGTTCAATGGGTATAGTCATAAGTTGTGTGTACGTGCTTGTTTATTAAATCCCCATTAGCTTCTGTGTTAAATAATAGCTTTACCCATCCTGGAGTCTCCATATCTTAATTGACAAGAGTTCAATAGATGTTTGTTTGTTTGTCTGTGTGTGCGTCCCGTTGGCATGTGCTTGGGTGGGACAGGGTTTATCCTGCTTGTTTTGTGATAAACTTCCTGCTGGGCAGATGTCCTCATCCAAGGCCGAATAACTGATACAATTTAAAGGTTGCACCAGTCTCATTCACTCTTTCTATCGAACATATTTTAATCGCAGATCGATATTTATTTCCACACAGTCTCATCCTTCTTTCCCTCTGCATATATGGCTGTAGGAGAAACACAAGATACAAAGGGGAAAAGTGACAGGAAGGGATTTCCCCACCTGGAAGCTCTTGTAATTTTCAGCCTTTGTAGAGGGGCGGTATTTGTAGTCTTCTATACATTTTGTACTACTTTAAACCAACATGGGCCTGACAATATTTCAGCTGAAGCATTTTGCAATATGCTTGGGGGGGGGGACTTGTGTAAATCAGTGTAGTGATACAACAGAAAACTCAAAGTACTTGGTCTTTTTCGATACTCTGATTTTTTTTAAATTTTCAATATAAGCTGTTAAAGCCCACAGCACTTTTCTGTGTCACTGAGTTTTTCTCAGCTGTGTTATTTCTGTGTTCCAGGTTATAGTTTTACATTGTAGATCAGCTGTTTGGGTAAGAAAATACTGTGGCTAGCTAAACTGCTATCTGCGTACTGGAGTCGCTCAAGGTATCCTCTTGTCTTCAACATTTTTTTATTGCAGCCTCTGCTATTAAATCTCTGACTCGGACAGGTTGCAAGTTCTCCCTCTGCAAACCAGGATAGATGTCGTTGATGTTGGCACCTTCTTTTTCAAATTTGGAGTCAGGATGTAGGACAAAGTAAGTCTTGTGATTGAGTATGTGAGTCCCTACTTTCACACTTGCGGCCATTACTCTGTTAAAAACTTGTTTGCGGGCCATTGAGAAAGATGCAAACTCTTGCTTGCTAGTCTTGTGATTTAATTTAATTTTAGTTACCCCAGGCAGCACAGATAGAAAATGTAGCTTATAATGTATTGTAAAAGGAGCTCATGAAAGCTAATAGCAGCTGAAACGCAATTTATTTTGCTCTAATACGATGACAGTCAGGTGTTGGTTTCCCGAATATGACACAATTTTGGTATTTATTTTCGAGGCTGCGTAAACATAGTGAAATGAAAATGACAGATATGACAAAGAAGACACCACACACAGTGTTGGATGTTGGATAAGATGTTTTTCTGTGTTGTTGAGATGAAAAGAGGAAGTCAAAGCCTTCAAATTTCCCCCATAGACACCACCTGACTACATAGTCACTATTGACAAAATCAGCTGTGTTCTAGGGAGAGACGTTTGAGGACAAGTTCTGCAAGCTTTTAAATGCATAATGAGTCCTAAAAACAATGTTACTCTAAGTGTGTGAAGGTGGTTGTACTCAAACTGTGGGTTTCAGTGTGACAACAGTCATGCTTTATTTTTAATTAACTGTGTAGTCATTATGGGATGTTTAGAGTTGATTTGCAGAGGTGAAATGGAAATGACAGAAAGGCAAGACACCCGTCTCCAGGGTAGCATCAAGCTTCTCTCATAACCATTTATATAAAGTGTGTGTGTGTGTGTGTGTGCCCGGATGCATAATTCTGTATTTCTCTCATTTATTTAGAACTGAGAGTAGTGCAAGTTACAGTTTGCTCCATCTTATGTTATTTGAACCACCTGTGACATTTGGTAGGCTGTATTAAACATTAAACAAAATAGAGGAAAACAAAACAAAATAATGCAAAATTAAAAGAAACACAGAAATTAATCACATCTCCTGATTTAAAAAAAAAAGTAAAATACAAGACCATATCAAAACCATGCCCTATATGTATCATGATTTGTGAAGTGTGAGGTCACGTAGCTTTAAGTGCCACAGGATGTCCATCCATCTGTTGTTAATACAGTTAACAGTGGATGCAGCGTTTAATCTTGCTCAATCACTGCTCATGTACTCCAGTAATGGACCACAGACTGACTTATCTCTACACGGGATGGGACACTTTTAATTCATACTTAAAGCTGGGGTCCTCTACTACTGCATAGGCGTGCATAGCTTTGTGCATAGCTTGCTGTCATTTATTTGTAAGATGTATAAATACTGTTACACTTTCTTATGTTATACTTGTTCATTTCATTGTAAAACTTATTCGGGGTATCAGGACGTTGGAAAAATCCCCCCCAAAAAAATACATTAATATCCAACACAGATATTCTGATAACATTTTTTCTTCCCAATTCTAATAGCTGAAGTTGTGTAACAGCTGATTCCAAGTAACCCTCTAATACTGATTTAGAGCAATTAGAAAAACAGACAGCTTCAGCTCCAGCTCATTGCCTAATGTTAGGTTGACAGAAAGTTTGATAGAGTCAGCATTTCTAAAATGGCAACCGCCATGGATAGGCTACCAAAACAGCCATCAGAAACCAATGGGTGATGTCACTCAGGCTTTGTCCATGTTTATTTACACTATGCTACATATATATACAAAACCTAGGTATGGGAACACCTCTATATCATCCAGTGTTTTATTTTGAATACCAGTGACAGCCAGTGGCTGTTGCAGCCTCAGGGATTGTGTTTGACCATGTATCGACTTTCAGCTAAACAAACCACTCCTTGATTGTTCCTGCTGCTTTGTCAAAAGGGTCAAGGGGTTCCTGGAAACTAATTCTACAATAGAAAATGTTCAGCTCTGCTTCGAAGAAGCAACTGGTTAGGGAATGCAGGTTTTTTTTTTTCCAGATAAGATTCAGGCAAGTTAAGTGAACAATCACACATTAGTTTTGTGGAACTTAAAGTGCTTCCCTTGTCATAAATATAATGTTAATTTTATGAAAAAGCTGATCCTTTTCTTATTAATTGTATTAAGGGTTGATAAAATCTTTTTTACAGTTTCCTCCCTCACATTTGATCTTTTGAGTCCTTACAGTGTGTGTATGTGGAGATGACTTGATGATGACTCTGATGGTCTGCAGGTGTGTCACCTATTATTGTAGGTATGTTAAGAGAATAGATGTGTGTTTGTGTGGCTGAGTGCCCATCTGTTTTGTAGCTCAGTGCTGGGCTCTGTCTCACATGGCAACAGATCTTGTTTCTTATTTTCTTTCTCTGTGTGTATCTTGTACTTAATCTTTTATCGCCCTGGCTTTGTGTTATTGTCAGCCCTCAGAGGACAGCACAGAGAAAAGATGCAAACATTGGACTAATGGATCAAATTTTCAGGTTTTCTTCTAGAAGGTTAGAAATTATGACCATTGAAGTTTCTGGCTTTTTGTTCAATCAGTTACACTCTGGGGATTTCAGAATTCCAATTCGGAGAACTGATGAATGGTGATTGTACAGCTGGGATGTTCGTAATGACCATTTCATATTTTAATAATGACATGTAATGTCCTGTAAAGCCTCTTTGTTCTTGCTGTTGGCAGATCTTATTTCAGTAAAAGTTAAGCCTGTTATAACTCATTCAGATCAGATTTGAGCTGTATTGGCTTTCTTCAAAGACCTAAAGGTTAAACATGTTCGTTCTTAAACAATGATAGGGGACTCAAAAGAGATTTCTGTGAAGCAGCTCTGTTTTTTGCATACAAACATTTTTACCTATCGCTGAAACTATGCAACTGTTAAAATCGTAAACTATCAGCAGACATTCAAGCAATAGCTCAGCCTTTGGTGACTTTCCTTGGGAGTCGTAGGATGGCTGGTTCAAGTCCAGCATGGATCAACCAGTACAGTACAAAGTTTGGACTAGTGGTAGTGCTGGGCAATTAACAGAGTATTAGTTTCAGTTACAATTATGGCTGCTGATTCTGATACCCACAATCATGAAAACAAGATCATAAATATATTATAAATATATTTAATATAAAATATTAAACGGTTACTGTGCCGCATGCCTTGTTGCACTTGTTTTGTTCCTAGGTTCTGTCACGTGAGATAAATGTTACAAAGGGTTTGTCGTTATAATTTGGCCATAAGAGCACCGCTACCATCAAAACTTAGTTAATTTATTTATATTTATGTATTATTAGTATTATTATTATTATCATACATTTTTTGGACTTTTTTGTATTTATTGCATGTTTGTCAAAGTTCTCAGAATGTTTAAGTGTCATGTGTTTACATTTGATAGATGGATATGATGCTGATATTGTCAAATGAGTGTTTCTGTGTTTAATAATCATCATCTTAATGTCTATAAAAATAATTGTGATTAGGATTTTGCCATAATTGAGCAGCCCTAACTAGTAGCTGAAAAATACCTACATTGATTACAGAGATGCCCTTCAGCAAGGCCCAAGCTGCTTGGGGAGCCTGAATATATAGTGTCTTCCTGGGCAGATACGGGTGACAGTGGCAGCCCTTCTTACCTGACATCTCTTCATACTCTAAGGCATGTAATGAAAAAAAAAACTGTGATGAATGCGAGTGTCATTTTTTCCTCTGTTGCTTGTTCTAAGTTCATCATGTTGCCACATTGACCTTAGGTTTTAGGTTGAATCTTGGCAGGACATTAGTAGAACATTGAGTACTGAAGCACTGATGCACAGATAGATGTGAGATAAGTATTCAGAATGATAGGCTTGGCCATCTTTGCAATACAAGCTGGTGACTCTCTCTTAAGATGCAGGCAGGAGTTTGGGTAATGTGTCTCTGTCTTGGCTACTCACTCTATCTGGATTGAATGCATATATGAACTTGTTAATATCTGGGACTTTTATGGTTTAAGTATGGGGTTTATACCAGGAATAAGCTGGTTGATGTCATTTGCAGAAAAGCACCAAACTCGATGGTTGGGTTTGATTGGTTAGTGTAAGCGCCTGTGACAGACAAGACACAGTTTTCTTTTCTTCTGTTACATGCCAACAGCAACAACAAAAACTCAAGGTTGGACTTTTTGTTATAACAGTTTGTTCTCTTTATCAACAACATTATCACATGAGGTCACCCAGGCCAACGTTCAAACAAAGTAAAACAAAACACAATTTTGGATTTAACGTTTACAGTATTTTATCCCCAGATCCACTTTGACTGCTGTTAATTTATTTTTTTAGGTTTGTATGAAAATAATGTTGGAATTTTTTTCTGACAAAAATGTAAACACAAACACAGCAACTTTGATGAGCTGGGAGATAATTGACACTCCTTCAACAATTCATTTACAAACCAGTAATGAGAAAATGTTGCCTGGTAGGGATTGTATTTTGCATTGAAGTTGTCAGGACAACATTTTTTTCAGTGTAAGGGGATGGGTGTCTTGAGCTTACAACATTTGAAAGCCAATGTACCATCAGAAGTTAACAAAGACCAAGAATGTTTTTGATGGTGGTGTCCAGATTATATAATCACTAGTTTGCACACAGTAGGCCATAATAAACAAGCTTGTTGCTCTGCATCACTAAGCAGTTTTTTTTTGAAAGGCGTAAAAATGCTTTTAATAACTCTTAGCTTGAAAGTTTAGGATACAATTAACCGCAACACTTATGACTAGCACATGAAGCAGTGATTCCAAGTCATCTTATTTTAACCAGCTAAGATCCTGTATGGCTATAAGACGGGAAAAAACGGACCAGTTCGTGCACAAGTATTGTTTCAAGCCTCACTCTGTAGTGCAGTTTTTGCACTCATTGGAGGCTGAAGATGTGTTCAGATCTTTAAGTCTTGATTATAGTTCACATGTTATGCAAAATACACATCACCATGGTTTTCTGACACTAATTGATATGTGTCCCTAGCCTGTCGACAAACCCCTCAATAATTAGTTTTTTGCCTGATCCACTTTTTAGTAAATGTGTGCTAAAACAGGCCATTTGGAGAATTTTCCTCAATGACATCACAAAGGGAAGTAACCCATCCCCCAGGCGGTGTCACTCCTAAAGCTAGATATTTGTTCTGCCAGTAAATCCGCCTTCTTACCGTAAACAATAGGGCATGGTGCAAGAAAGCTCAAGCCCTTCCAGGGAGGGGCATGGTCAGACACAGCTCATTTGCATTTAAAGCTACAGACACAGAAACAGCCTGTTCTGAGCAGGGCTGAAATAGAGGGGTTTATAGACATGATCAAATACAGGATCAGAGTGGATTTAGAACAAGAAACTTCACAAACATGTTTAAGGGAGCTCTGAGACTAATTTTAAACTAGTTGAAATGGAGGAGAATATTTGACCCTTTAAGTCTCTTTGTGAGTACTGACTTAAGACTCTTGATAACTGAGGTTTGATGGTGGAAGACGACTCTTTCATTCAATTTTTTTTGTCTTTGCAGGTTACTAATTTATTTCCCTCTAAGAATTCAAGGAAACACAAACCACAATTTGAAGTAACATCAACTGTCCAAGGGCCGTCTGTCAATCAAACAGCAGACATCTCCTTGTGTCATCCTACTGTGGCCACATCAGCTGCTAAAAGAAGTATTGGACATTCCCTGGATTTTTAATGAACATTTTCCTGCTTCTGTGGTGACTGTCCAGAGGAATCTCCATCAACAAATCTTCTGATCTCTGAGGGACTGGATTCAAGTAGAACATGTGCTAGGAGTTGAACATTTCTGCTAAATAACTAGACTTCTTCTCTAGAAAATGAGCAATGAAGAGGAGTTCTTCGACGCCGTCACAGGTGAGTCTGTGAATAAAGTGTGTGTCAGCTGACAAATTCCATTTTGAATTGACCTCTCAAATATTTGGCTTTGCTTCGATGAAGACAGGCATATGGTCTAATGATCGTTGCTACAGTTTATATTTGTAAATGTAACTTTTTTTTGTAAATTAGGATCTTACTAGGATTGTGACATTGTTTATGCTTCAAGAGCATGACCGAGCACAAGTCATTGTCTTTTTTTTTGTGTCACCATCATAAAAGCCTAATGCTAACGAAACCCAGCCTGATAAATGAATAATTCAGAGATCTTCTGCCTTGGCTTATGATCAGTAATGTCAACAACAATTTGACTTCTGTGGGTGTCTTTTAGCTGTGTGTGTGTGCAAAAATAAGACCAAAGCGCTTTAAGTTCAGTTAATTAATTGCATGTGCTCAATGACAATGAGAACATAATTTTTACTGTCTTTCTAATGTATCCAGCACAGAAGGGACGGAGTATCATTGAATCCACTCACTTAATTCCTTATTTTCTGGTCATGACTTAGCGAAGGTAGATTTACAAATTAACAAAAACCATTGGCTTGTATTGTTTCAGATTTCTAGTGCTATGGAAGGATGAGACTTTCTATCCTCCAAGTCAACACCCATAGGCATGCTAATGTTACAGTTACCATGATGGGCGACTGTGGTTCAGCGGTAGAGTCTCAACTGGAAGGTCAGGGGTGCAATCCCCATTGCCTGCAGACACATGTCTGCAAAACACTTAACCCCAAGTTGCGTCCACTGCTATGTCCACGGTGTGTGAATGTGTGTATTAATGGATAAGTTAATGATGGACACTTTCCATAGCAGCCTCTGCAGTCAGTGTGTGAATGTGTAGGTGTGACCTGCAGTGTTAAAGCGCTTTGAGAAGTTAGAAAACTAGAAAAGCGGCGTTGTACAAGCTCAAGTCCGTTTATCATGACAAGGTCTGATATTAATGCATTAGCTAATTAAAAAAACAAGAGACATTGAAACTAATCCTTATAGCGTTTCTTTGACTCACATGAATTGTTTATGAATTTTTTGTCAGAGGTGTAGCTCGACTACAACTCCAGGGTCTGACTCGGGAGTATACATCCTTTCTTTGGCACTTGTTTAAACACCAAGAAGTTAAAGGAGCTTCACTCACACTAAAAACAATTTTGCTTGTGATGTTAGACAATGGGATTTTTGTTCTAAAAAAACATGTTCATATTACTGATCTTTAAACACAATAACGCCTCTTTCTGACCAGGTCGTGATGATCAGTATTGATCGTTTTTTTTTTGCCATGTAAGATATTTATGGGAGAGTGAGATGTTTGTCTTACATGGCTTACATGGCTTACGTGACGTATTTTGAATACACCTAGTACCTTTGACGTACCTGTGATAGCTCAGTAGGTGTGTTAAATAATAATTAATCCTTCCATCTATTTTAAGCTTTTGTTAAAGCCCCACCTGGAGATCACCTAAACTCCACCTTGCAGCACCTGATACTCACATGCCTTGTTCTTGTCCTGGCTCAGAGCCAGATGTAGACTTAAACCAGCAGTGTATTGCCACATACAATAGGTAATTCACACACAAGTGTTTTATTGTCAGACACGTTGATACTGCTTCATAGACAACAAGTGTAGAGCAGACCAGAATCAGAAGACATAAACATGTGTTCTCTACACATAGCTGCACCATGACATCTTTTGTACAGTTTGTGATTATTTATCCTTGAGCGTAACGCTTCCTGAGAGTTGGAGTTAGCCACAGCTGTGTAAGGAAAAGGTTTAGACCGTCTACATAGTTTCAGGCAGTCAGTAAAATTTGAAAGTCAAACACAGGCAGAAGTACTTGATGTAAAACAGTATGCAAATGTAAAATGCATAGGGCTGTTTAAAGTTTAAAAACAGAAAACTCTCATTTGACCCATAACTACCTGCCAGTAAAATTATAGAGCCAAGTGATTATAGAGCCCCGCACTTTCTTTGTCTATAACGGTGTTCAGCTTTCCAGTGGTGAATGAGCAGGTATTCTGCACTGATCATTGGCTGCCACAAAAAGTATATAACCTATAATATAACCTCCTGTCACATTTTTTGTTTCCCCCAGGCCTGGATTCTGACGAGTCGTACGAAGGGGTGTCAGAGGCCAGTTTCAAAGATGCAATGGTGTTTGACGGCAGTAGTCAGAAGAACAACGGATCAGTGCCACAGGAGAACGGCATCAAGAAGCACAGGTACTGCTGCATTCCTGCAACACATTCCTCCTGGAGTGTTTATTTGTTGGTTTGTTTCTGCATTATGTCTTCATCAGAAACTATTAGAGCCTCCCACTGAAACCAGTTTGATGCACTGGGCAGGGTCCAAACTCTTAGTCATTACGACTAAGTGCCCTGATATAACCATGTTACATGATCAAAGCTTGTGGGGTTGTTGTGTGTGTGTTTGTTTATTATTCAAATAGTTTTTATTGCCATTCATTTAAATAGATAAACTGTCACTCAGTTTTAATTTTTTATAATTGGTGACTGCAAGCTGTATTTCAGTTTTTATTAAGGTTTCAGTTCCATTCATGTTGACAGCTTACAGACAGCACTTAAGATAACCTTCAGCACATGCTAAAGGAAATACACAAGTGATGTGAGTCCAGAGATCTCAGGGAAAGGGTGTGGATTCTGGAAAAATCCACACTTTGTCAGCATCAAGAGTTTTGTTACTCAAGGCCAGAACAAACAGACAGGACAAATGAAAGTTGCAACGACTCAGTATGTAGCAGCAACATAAAAAACTTTACCACTATAAATCTGACTACATGAATAATTGGCGTATTGTATCCTTCCTAACCAATAACATTTATTCCTCGTGTAACTCTTTTTGGAGCTGGATATCATTCGTTGCAGCTTTAACAAAAAAAAGAGAGTGAGGCTTTTGATTATGAGTCACTTATCATTTCAGTATACACAACGCTGGTGTAGACAGTTTTGAGGAAAAGTACACAAAAGTAATCCAGATTTTGGCTTAAAAGGATGAATGGGGGGGAAATGTCAGAGCACCTCGGTCTCCTGTGGTAAGACATTACATTAAAAAAAGTGCAGAAGTAGCGGAAATATCAGGCGTTATCTGCAAGTGTGAAAGCCCTAATAAAAGACAATGAACAGACATTGTTCAGTCAATCTTAGCTGGTGGAGGAATCTGCTATAGTGCATGAGTGCAGGGGCCAAGTTCTCCCTCTGTCTGTCAAAGTGCTGTACGTTTTCCTACATTTCCTTTAACTGTTTCATCTTAATGTGAAGACGTAGAATATTATTATCTCTGTAATAAAGCTGTACAATATTTTCTTTAAGTGACACACAGAATGCAACATTCCCACTACTCTTTTTACTTTAACTGGATCCACTCTACAAAAGAGAGCCAGAGGTAATTAATGCATCTTCAGTCCAGGTAGCATACCTGTCAAACTAAAGTCTCATCTTATCAACAACCTGTGCTTTCATTCTGACCAGTTTGTTAGCTGAGATACTTTTGGTGCTGATAATCATCAGACTTTTTACTGCCAGCCAACATCAGGGAAGGAAGAATTTTTATTATTCTTTCTTTCTCTGTCCCTGTTTCTTTTATCACCATCATTGCTGGCAATGTTTGTGTTTATGCTGAAGATAAGAAACCATAACTACATGGTTGAACTTGAAGAAAGTTGTTTTTTGTTGTTTTTGAAACCTTTTTTTACTTAGTTGTCAGGTCACTTTGTACTTGCGCTGAAACACCTCTGTTGTTGATCTGTACGCTGCTGCTCTACCCAGATAATACAAAGTTTAAAGGACATCGAGTGTGCTGACTCTTCTGTTTTCTTGTAGTCCTTTTTTGCGGTCGTGCACCTGAAGATTCATTACAGTTTGAGTGTGCTCCTTTTTCTGCTGCTTTACATTCAGACCTTGTAATTTATTTCTATTTTGTTTCCCCCCCAGGACTTCATTACCTACGCCCATGTACTCCAGAAACACCATCAGTGTCTGGAGTATCCTGAAGAAATGCATCGGACTGGTGAGGACCCAAAGATTTCACATAGCAAATTGAATGCTACAGGTTTTATTAGTAAACGACAGATGCCTTTTGTAAATGGAGACCTAGTGGATGACTGAGATAAAGATGCTACTGCATAATAGTGGCCTTCATAGAGCTCAGTCGGATTTAGGATTGGCTGTTTGTGTGTTTAGTTGATCGCATGTAAAGTCTGTGTAGAGCAAAATCAGAAATTGGTCTCTAAACACACTTCGTTGGAAAAAAGAAGCTACAAATTTGTCGAAGACTGAGAACTATGTTTGACCAAATTATGAATTTAGACTGTTTGAAAGTCTTTCATCATTTTTACATTTAGATTTATTTTAAGCGGGGCCAAATGGGGGGCTTGATGATACACTGGTGTTCCTTAGCATAACCCTGCCCCTCTATTGCTACAGTGATATAAAAACATTGAGAGCCTTGGCATCTTCAGTTCACCTGCTTGACATTATAGTCTGCAGCTTTCTATCTTGCTATGATCATTCTGCAAGTGTGTCTTCCCTGGATGCCAGAATTTGAAGAGCAGCGCAGTCTGTTAATTCAAATTTCCTAAAGATGTGGAAGTCGTTGTCAGGTCAAATAGTTCAGCCAGATAAACCCTCCATTGTCAGGTTGTGGCAGTTTCTTGACAGTAAAGAGAGGCACATCTTTCCTGTGAGCGGGCGTGGTTTCACAACACTCAACAGAGAAGCCCACAGCTTCCAAAAACAGAAATTACTGCTTAATTTTTCATGCTCCCAAACTTTTGTTTGTACTATTTTTTTTTTGGGTTGGTTAATAAAAGTCTTCTGTTGTATTACAAACTCATGATGAATATCATTTATATTACTTTGAAGTTTGAAATAACATTGTGAATATTTTTATATTGAAATGTTTTCAGACCTTAAACACGTTTGATTTTCACAGGAGCTGTCCAAGATCACGATGCCCATCGCCTTCAACGAACCTCTGAGCTTCCTGCAGAGAATCACAGAATACATGGAACACACTTACCTCATCAACAGAGCCTGCTCGCTGTCTGACTCCATAGAGCGCATGCAGGTCATAGACACACACACACACACACACACACACACACACACACACACACACACACACACACACACACACACACACACACACACACACACACACACACACACACACACACACACACACACACACACATCTACTCTATGCGGTTTTTCTTCACCACTCCACAGAACACAATGCACACTGAAGAACACAAACACATGAGAGATAGAAATGGTGTTTCATCAGTGATCACCTGTAAAATTATAAACATGTTTTTGACCTTTTACATTTTTTTGTTATTATATCCGTACCATCTTCAGACACATTCTACCTTTAAAAAAATATATTTAATTTTAGCAGGGATGTTGGTTTTCAGTCCTTTTACTTGTTTTAAAAAAACAAAACAGATTCACAACAAAGACTTTTTAATACTGTAAACGTGGGAAAATGTCCAGAAACCTCTAACCGTTACTGAATAAGTGAAAACTCAGTTAATTTATGAAATTAAACTTTTTGACTACATGAGCCACACAATGTGAACACAGTGACCATGACCATTTCATCAATCTACAAACTTGCTTGAAAAACTGCTTAGCTTACACAATTATTTGAACATAAACCCAGATCTACAGTAAGCCCAAATCTAAAGAGAGTAATCATGACCATTTAACCCACTCACCACGTTACAGACGCTCACTCCCATAATCTGTTATTATTCGTCTTCAGGCAGTAGCTGCTTTTGCTGTGTCAGCAGTTGCATCTCAGTGGGACAGAACTGGAAAACCCTTCAACCCTCTGCTGGGAGAGACCTATGAACTTACCAGGTATGTACTGTTGGACACACAGACACAGACACACACACACACACACACACACACACACACACACACACACACACACACACACACACACACACACACACACACACACACACACACACACACACACACACACACACACACACCTGTGTGCGCTCACTTACACAAATCAATGTTTTTCTTAGATCAACTGGTTTTAAAAAGTTGATTTGTGTCCTCTCCTCTGTTTCCTTCTGCAGAGAGGAGCAGGGTTTCCGGCTTGTATCGGAGCAGGTATCCCATCATCCCCCAGTCAGTGCCTTCCATGCAGAGAGCCTGGCGGGGGACTTTGTCTTCCACGGCTCCATCTACCCCAAACTCAAGTTCTGGGGAAAGAATGTTGAGGCTGAGCCGAAAGGGACCATCACACTAGAGCTACTCAAGTGAGTCCAAAAGAGTTGATGGTATCATTGTGTTTGTTCATATAAATAGTTACTCATGCTCTTTTGTCTTTTGTCATTTAAAAAAAAATATTGTCTGCCATTCTTTCATGTTGTTTTTCTCTCCTTTGCTATTTATTGTCTCTCATCCCTCCTTTTTTATTTCTTCTTTCCTCTCCTCCAGACACAACGAGGCATACACATGGAGTAACCCTTTCTGCTGTGTACACAACGTGATCCTGGGCAAACTATGGATAGAGCAGTATGGCACTGTGGAAATAGTCAACCACAGGTAACTTACCTACTGTCTATAAAGTGTTGGCAGTTTGTTTGTAGCACAATTGACATTGGAGTATGATGACCTACACGTTTTCAAAAAATAAATAAATGAACAAGTCCGTATTTGACAGAAGCTCAAAATTGAACAGTAAATATATTTCTCTGTTAATGCTTTAGTTGATGAAATCTTAGTTAAAAATGTAATTATTTTCAGACTAATAGTCCAAATAACAAGATCACAAGATGATTAAAAAAAGTGCCTATCCTGTCCTAGTCTGCACCCATTTGAACCCTCGATTCTTGGAGAAAGCTTAACCACAGTGAAGTTCAAATAAAGGGTGTCTGTTGCTCATAGTCCTGGTCGGCATTCCTGCCCGGCGCCTTCATTCACTCTGTCGGTGTTGACTCTGATACTTAAAACTTCAGCTTGTTTACTCTCTGTGCGTCTTCTCAGGCTAACTACCCCTACAGCATTTTCTAAATCTTTATTTATGCAGTCAAGCTCTGCAGAGCTATTTCTTATCCTTATTTTGGTCACACTTTTTGTCATGTTCACACAGTTGAACTGCTTCACACCCGCAGCTGTGAAGCAGTCAGATCCCTGTCTTACATAATTAGCTACAAAATAGCTTCTCTGTACCTTTGTTTAAATAAGCGAGTGAAGGGATGTTAGTTAGTTCTCCTGACCTTCTCTTTTCTCTTGCAGCACTGGAGACAAGTGTGTGTTAAATTTCAAGCCTGGTGGGATGTTTTACAAAGAGCTGCACAAAGTGGAGGGATACATCCAGGATAAGAGGTCAGAGTTCACTTTGATAATGTTACATGATCTACACTATGCATATTTCAATATATCTTAGCATTTTAACAAGTTGTTGTTCTGATCTGCTTCTTCTTTTTTCTTCCTCACTTGTTCCTTTTCCCTCTTATTCTCCTCTTTGCAACTCTTCCTCTCAACCCCTCTTTGTCCCTTTTCCCTCGTATCGTTGTCCTTGTTCAACAATCACATGTTTTCTTTTCTTGGTCTGCCTCTTGGCTTTTTTCTACTCCCTCCTGTTTTCTGTCGACATCTCTCCGTCCAGTAAAAAGAAGCACTGTGTCATCTATGGGAAGTGGACTGAGTGTATGTGGAGTGTGGACGCTCAAGCCTACGAGGCCCACAAGAAGTCAGAGAAGAAAGGGGACACCAAGAAGCAAAGAAATGTGAGAATGACTTAAATAAAGACTTTACATTTACGCCCTTATTTGAACAGTTATTTAATGTTTTGTGATTTCCTTCAGCTGTCAAAAGCTTTCTGTGTGGTCTTATTAAGGTAAACCAACAGGCTTGAATAGTGCTGAGGTCTTTGGCTGTTCAGATTTAGTATTTGTGTATTAGGTGAAAAGTGTGCTTAGCTTCCCCTGAAATGTGACATAGACGATACATGTATGTAGACAGTATAAAAGACATTTCCATTGTTTGGTAAGATGTGATTTGTCCCTGACCATTTTGTTCACACAGCATTTATAATGAACATGATTTCTTCCAGGAGGAGCAGGAGGGTGCAGACAATGATGATGCAGACGACATGCCTGAAGTCCAGGAGACGGTGTCTGTCGTACCAGGAAGCACCCTGCTGTGGAGAATAGACCCCAGACCAGCACATTCTGCTGAGGTATGATAAAGAAGACACACTCAGGGAAAACCCCAAAGAGTTGTTCAGAGCCATGTAGAAAGAAATGTTTCATTTAGGAGGCCCTTGATTAATAACCCCTGTGAATACTTTGATCATTTGTAGCTTGTCCAATACAGAGGGATCTGATAGATTCATAAACATGCAAGCCAGGAGGCAAATACAAGTCATCAGCTTTTTAAATTGACAGAATCAGAGCTGATACTCTGTCATGTTTATCAGTTGTTCAGCACATATATTTTTTAGAACAATTTTTATGAAAAAGAAGTAGTGTGTTTTTCTCAAGCCTATCAAACAAACATCTCATATGTCCCTTTCTCTGTCTCTTCCTTCTCCAGATGTACAATTTCACCAACTTTGCAATGTCTCTCAATGAGCTGGACCCTGGCATGGAAGCCATCTTGGCCCCAACAGACTGTCGCTTCAGGCCTGACATAAGAGCCATGGAGAATGGCAACATGGGTAATTTGATTTAAAAAATCCTGTATCAGTGTTAAATTTAGTTTTTGTTTGGCTTAACATCCGATTGTCTTGTTGGGTCAAAGTGCAACAGAAAGAGAAACAAAAGTATAATCAGAAGTTACAGCTGACATTCAGAGTACTCTTCCAGTAACTTTTTTGAAAATAATGTGTCTGAAAGTTTCATGTCTTAACTTCTCATTGAACACAAATAGACAATAACATGACAATACTGCCATCTGCTGGATTTGTGTCGCCATCGCACGTGATTTTTAGAGCCAAATAATTCAATATGAATCAACATAATCACCTTAAATTTGTACATGTTTTCTTGCACTCTTCACATGATCCGTTAGCTTAATGTTTTAATCCATGAACATCGGTGTGTGTGTATTTTTTCTTGTGTGTGCAGATGAGGCCAGCCAGGAGAAGGAGAGATTGGAGGAGAAACAGAGAACATCAAGAAAAGAGAGAGCCAAGAATGAGGAGGAGTGGTCTACAAGGTAGGAAACATGCATACACATGCACACTAAGATTGACCATTCTCAAGTCTTCAATCAAAAGGTATTCCTGTGTTCAGGCTTTGACAATCAGATGCTATGCCTTATGCAATACGGCATAAGACCTCCATCTGACCTCCGGGAATATAGTTCTTGACTTCTAAACTTGATTTTTATTCAATTTATTTAATTTTTATTTAATTTCTTTAAGTGATTTCACAAATTCATGAGTAAAAGTAGAAACTTGAAAAATCTAAAACTGAACCTAAGTTTTCCATTCTTAGACATTTGTTTGGGTTTGTGCTAAACATGTTGTGATGCATTAGGCAGGCGGTTTCTGCAGACGGTTAATCTGTTTGTCTGTTGCTCAGGTGGTTCCAGATGGGCACCAACCCGTACACCGGCTCCCAGGGATGGCTCTACACTGGTGGCTACTTCAATAGGAACTACCAAGATCTTCCCAACATCTACTGATAGCCGTTAGCATTCCTCCTCCACAACCTGCAATGATCTGCCTGTAAAGAAATGGAGAGAAACAGAGGTTTCAAATAACCGTTTCCATTCCACATCCTTCATCACCATCATCATCATCGTCTGTAAACCGACGGATCAAGGGGACCTACAAAGGAGCCGACTGCCGGTCACTTTCTGTCAATAGCGGTCTCAAATAACGGTCTGCTTTGTGTCTTCTGCGTCTTCAGGTGTCTTTTTTTTTTTTTTTTTTTTCAGAATTCAAAAGATTTAAACCTTTTCCTTCTTCTCTTACGTGTTTTCTCAAGTAACGACCAGCAAACCTTTTCAATCTTTTTGCTTCGGTGTCTCCAAAAGCACAAGAACAATTTTATCTTTGACACGACGGAGTGGTCAGGAATTGTACATTGAAGTTATTGTATATGGGGGGAAAAATATGAACAAGATCCAACCTGAATGTGGAATTCAAAATCAAAATCGTTGGAGGAACCTGCCAAGCTCCCGAATGGCCACAGTCACATCATTAAAGAGTTGATATAAATAAGAAAACACAATTAAAGAAAACGTAATAATCACAGTGATGGAGCTTTGGACATGGAAGGATACCTACTGAACGGGAAATCAGGGATGTAAAAGATCCCCTCGAGGATGGAACTTGAGGATGCTTCGTTTCTTGTGGAAACATTCAAACACTCGTTACAGGAATATAGATGAAATTGTAGATTTTAAAGAGCAAACTTCTAAATAAATTCTAGCCAAATTGGACAAGACAAATCTAATAAAAACATAAGCTTATTGGTCTTCATGGGTCATATCCCTAATAATGACCTTCTGCTTGAGGTGTATGCATCCAAATAAATCAAAAGAGCTACTAGGGAATGGATGTTTCCTCTATGAAGAGAAGAATGTGCAGCCTTTGTGGGGTCATCTAAGAAACCACATGGAAACTTAAGAATGAATAGGGCACAGGTTCAGTGACATGTCTGAGCAGTGATCAGAATTGTGACTTTCCAAACACTCGACCTTTAGCTACTGTATGCCTGTAAGAATAGTTTTTAGTATTACTCCCAGTAAAAATGTACAGAATCATTAACGCTATAGTTTAAGACCACAAAGCTAAAGGTTTCTATGCAGCTTGGATAAAGCAGCTTGTCTAACCGTGCTGCCTGCTACTCATACGTCATAGCTGATGTTTACTCACATGGCTTCATATTTCACATCTTCCCAGTGGTACATCTTCTGAGGAAGTTGTCTCATGTCCAAGACTTTAGAGATATATTTCTGTTTTCTCCTCCAAAGGCAGGTCAGAAGTCTGGCTGAAGCTGCTCATGCTGGTTCAGTCTCCTGCTCAAAGGTACTTAACGAGAAACCTATCTGAGTTTAGAGCAGGAATCTGGTGGATCTAAAAAAAAAAAAAAGAAGACCAAATCGAAAGGTTTGTGTCTGCATGTGCATGAACATCTGCACTTGGAAGTCTAAATTCACCCCCACAGAGTTAAACTCGAAATGACTGTATCAACGGATTTTAAAATGTATATTTAATACCCACTTCACACACAAGCACAACCTTTGTGACACCGAGTGTGGATAAAAGAACACGCAAGTTAATGAAAGTAATACATGCACATTTATCATGTGATTGAATGTCTAAATATGTACAGACACTTAAAGCCATATTAACTACAAGAGAGTGAACAGTTGTTGTGTGAATGATGTGAATCTAACAATGGCACTCTTCAACTCTTTAACATTTATTAATCTCACAATCTTCGCTTGAATGAAAAAGAAAACGTTATTCATGTCGGTGTAGTATAATGTGACATGTTGAGGATTAGCTTTTTCTGCTGCCCAGATGGATTTGATGTTAGGAATGGTTGGGTTAATAAACACACATCCAGAGGGCCACAAACAACAGGTCACCCTAAGGAATACAAGCTCACTGGGAGAGAGAAAGAAGCAACATGACTCAAACATGGATGCTAAAAGAAAAACCACAGACACACGATAACTACAGAGACTTAAAATGGAATAGAAAGCAACAAAAAAGAGATGTAAAGTTGTTTTGAAGAGGCATGTCATGTTTTTTAGAAAACACCAAACAACAGTAAGCTTTTGTGGTACAAACTGTCCATAGCAAATTTAATTTTAATAGTTAAAAAAACCTATCCAGATGAATTAAAGCACACACAATAATTATAATTTTAAATAACTAAAAGTCACATTGTGCAAAATACACTTCACCATGTTTTTCTAAAACGAATATGTGTCCCTAGTCTATCTACAAATCCCCCAATTATGAGAAAGCCCATCTTCTCTGTCTTTTGCCTGCTCCACTTTTCAGAAAATGTGTTCTTAAACAGACTGTTTGGAGATTTTCCCTTCCTGACAAGGGGCAGTAACCCCTCCCCCAGGTGGGTGACACTCCCACAGCTAGGTGTTTGTTCTGTCATCTGGGTCGTTCTTCTCACTGTAAACAATTGGGCATGGAGCGAGAAAGCCAGAGCCACATCCCCTTCCAGAGAGGGGCGTGGTCAAACACAGCTAATTTGCATTTAAAGGTACAGACACAGAAACAGTCTGTTGCATAAAAAGTCTAAGCTCAATGAGACATCCTGTCTACAGGGTGTGTTTGGGCATGTTCAACAAAATCCATGTTTAACCCGGCTAATGTTTGGACTACAGCTGCTCTAACACTATATGCTGATGTTGCAAATATAAGATCATTTGATATTAAACTCTCAGTATTTTCCCCTTCAATCCATCCGAGAATTTAATCTAATTTTCCAATTTGGGGCTGAAATCCAAACTCATGTATTCTGATATTATATTTCCAGATTTAGGAAAAAAAATAATGTTATCAAAAGAATCTACCTGGAGTGTTTATAATAAAACCAGATTGGAAGAGTTCATTTAAAATCAGAGATTGGAGGATGACTCACATGTCCATACCCATTTATTTGATATTGATTGTTTCATCCTTGGTTTAAATCATTATGAACAAATAACACCCAACCATCAGCTCTACAGGCTATCATAACACTTTAATATTCCTCACATAACCTGCAACTCCTCCATGCACTTGGGAGAATCTGTCTTTTTGACGGCAAATACCAATTTGAAAGAACTTTTGTTGAAAGAATGTAACAGTATCCCTCGATTTCACCCCCTCTACAAAACTTAGTCAAGTGCAAAATCTACTGCGCTGCCCAACCTACATGATGTACACGATATACAGAGATAAAAAAAAGTAATGCATTTAATCCCTGCATTTCACCTAACAGAAGTTAAAATGTCACCTTTACATCATTAATACCATTTTATTTTCCGCAGTACCTACTCTATGCAACATTTGCTTCCTCAACATAAACAGTATGTGTCTGATGTGTCATTGTGAAGAAACTTTAACCCCCCCTCATCTCTTCAACACATCTGGACATGCATCCGAAGAGTTCCAGGTTAAATTGTCAGATAATCACGCTGCCTTTTTTAGTTTATCAACATATTCCAAACATTTGGATAGCGCTATAACTTGAACTCGTAGGCACTACAACCAGCTTTGTTTCACATCTTGGACCAACTTTTTTCATTTTTGTGTTTTTAAATCTAAACATCCATGTCAAACTTTGTGCCCATATTTTCATGTTTCCATTTTTCATTTCCTTGTGTTGTCTCCTTTATGTGTGTTATTTATGATATTTCAGGTTTTATTAGAAAATATATTAATTTGCTTAGTTTCTTTCATTGATGCACTTAAGTTTTCCTTTCTCTTAATAAATACTGTTTAAAGATGAGCAGAACATCTAAACTAAGAAGTTAACAATCTTCTTTGACCTTACTGGTGGACATTTTTACAGATGCCGTCTGATCTATGGACCAATACAGTGTGTATGCACTCAGACTGTGTGTTGAAGTGTAAACCACAACATGATTCATTTCTGTATTTTTGACTCTTCATTGAAAGAGTTGCGGTCACTAACACTACTTGAGATGATTATAACAGAGCAGTGTGAGATTAACATGGTTTAAAATGCTACAGTAGTAAATAACCCATTAAAGATTTAAAGGTTTTCATGGATTTTGACTGCATTTCAGCTGGTGAGATTGTCATAGTAAGCGTATTGAAAATGCAAAAACCATCAGTTCTCTAACCATCAAAACTTTGCTCCCTTCATTAAACTAGATTAAGCTTTGAGTGTTGGTTCCTCTGTTGAGTTTCTCCCTCCTTCTCTTGGACTGTATCACACGGTGTTGATGTTATATATATATAAATAAATGTGTACAAGTGCTGCACAGAGGTAATCACGAGCAAAATGGCATATTATTTTGTGCAATTGATTTATTTTTATAGTATTTAAACCGTTTTTGGTGAGAACATTGTACCAGATGTTTTATTTTGAGGTGGGGGACAGTTCGGGAGTCATATCCAATCTGTGGACAACTTGGTAGATACATCAACAGGGGAAATGTCTACTAATAAAATAAAACTAATTTCAGTTTTTGACTATGTCTCCTTCTTATATGAGATTGTTAGCACAGCTCTACACACCGAGTCAAAAGACCTCTGAAAATAAACATGGGGTGTCTGTGTCCAGGTGGAAAAGTTAAAATGTTTTTCTTGGACTGAAATAGCAGCAGGTATTCCATCAATGTAGCTAACGAAAGCCATGCTCACCTGAATATGCCAGGCAGAAACAACAGCGCCATCTCCCAATTAAGCCTTAAGTCTTTCCACTAACACAATCCAGCCTGGTTTGCCAGGTTGGGGAAAGTTAGAGCATGTGATTTTTAATGGCTGTAAAAAGGCTGGTGATGGAGCTGTACGAAGAATTCAAAGATATATTTTTTTTTTAAAAAGAGGCAAAACTGCTGACAATAATAAGAGCTATTCCACATGCGGGCAGACATTTTTTAAAACAAGGTTTTCCTCCTCCGTTTTAAAAAATAATCTCATCCACACGCTTAATTCTCAAAAACATCTTGGTCTTGAAAATGCAAAACACACGGTTACAGCTGTCATGAGCATGCCAAGTCAAAAACGATGTCCATGACATGCTGAAATGTTGTAGCCATTCCTCTGCAATGATCGTTTCATTTGACAAAGCTCTCTATTCCTGCACCTCTGCCCATCAAACAAACGAATAGTGATTAAAAAGTACTTTGAATTGAATTGATTCAAGTTCCATAAATGCAAATCTTTTACATAAAACTGAAAATCTTTGGGTTTTGGACAAAAGAAGAAGTCATATTGGGCTTTGGCAAACACTGATTGACAGTCACAATGATCTGGTAAACTAATAATAACTAGATTAATCAAAAAAAAGAAACAGATAATCGACAAGGAAAATAATCATTTCACTAGCAAAGACCACTCCACAACAATATTCATTTATACATTTAATGTGAATTTGTATGATCTATTGAGACAGAAGTATGTATGTGTAGGTGTCTTTAAGGCTGGTCTGGGAGGTTGATCGGCGATCGGGCGAAAGGGAGACTCAGAGTGGGGGTTCTGTTTCAGGCATTAATCTACCCAAACTGATTACAGCCCAGACTGTACCTGAAATGAGAGAGACATGAGAGAGACATGTTCCAAGTTGAATAGGAAGGGATGAGAAGGAGGGAAGGGAGGAGAAGGAGGGAAGGGAGGGTGAGTAGAAGAAACTAAGACAAACAGAGTGTGGTGAGGTGACCAGGTGTAATGGGCTTGGCAGGTAATTGGAGGTGTGAACCTAAGTTAATACATTAACTACATTATTTGCTGCTCTATAAGGATGACGTTGTTTCAGTCATATAAAACCCAGTTGTAGTTATTTTAATGACCAAAAAACAGGCTGTTCTTTCTAACTGTTTATTCTGAAATTACAGATGACGGTTATTATTCCTATTTTGTAGTGAACAAAAGTTGCATTGAAAATATTTCAACGTTTGGTACCAAGACAAAGAACCATTTTAGACATCTTTTCTTCTCATTTTCCTTTATGTAACCACTTGAGTACAAACATGATCCCAACTTTCAAATTAAATATAGAAAATATCAAATGAAGTATATGTTTTCTGCTTGTCAAGGAAGGCTGTCATCATAGGTTTTAAGGACTCCCAAGAGGCCTTCATTTGCTCAAGGTTTTCTTCGTGCCTTATTTGGCTTGCTTCTTCGGCCGCTTTAAGGAAATACATAAGTTCCCTGTCTTGCCCCTCACGCTTTTTGGCAGGTGTAGCAGTGGTGGTAGCCAGGAGCGATGCTTGTCAACAGGCAGGCAGGCAACTGCTTGGGGCCCCAGAGGGCTGACAAACTGTGGACCAAAGCAGCAACACAAAATATGCAAATTTTGCAATGATGTTGGCCCTTTCACCAAGACCTCTGGTCTGTCTATTAAAACATCTTTAGCAGTTCCTATTACAGGAAAATGTACATCATGATGCCCTCCATTAGCTCATTTATTTCACGATTATAGTGACATTTCTCGATTACTAGGTTTTGTTATTTTAGTTTGGGCTGGGGAGACCGGTAGTCCTATTTCCAATTATTTGAGTTTTTGGAGATACTTTTTGTGGTAGTTTAGGTGGGGAGGTGCCAAGAGCAACAGCCCATTACGTGGCTGGCTCGGCACTTTCCCATCTTTTATTCTGTTTGGCCTGATCTCCAGTCTTTTTTGTTTGTTCGTTTCTTAAATGAGATTATTTCCTGATTTGAGTGGAAGTTTATTTAAATAAAGCTCAGGGTTTAATAACTCGATACATTGTGTGGCGTCCCTTTTTATATGTTTTGGTCTCCTCTTTCTGAGACATTCTTGGTTAACCTTATGGTATGTTAAGGAGGCCTTAAAAATCACTCTGTACTAAATGTTAAGGTTTGCATGCTAACATTAGAAAGACAACAGGTTTAACCTGTTGTTGCTGGTACAGACCACAGTTTGGAAATTGGTCTGGTTGCTCAAGAGGTTCCAGTTCTCTTCCTGAGTACTGCCCATGTGCCTTTGACCCTGTGTTCTGCCCCCTCACTCTGCATTGATGCATGTTCATAGGGTGCTGTTTCTGTATGTGTGAATTCTGGAAAAGACATATCACAATCCCAACATGCTGATGTTCTTAAGGTGTTATTTGTTGTTTGGGATGGTTAGCATAATTAGCTTATCTACACTTAGCTTAGCTACACCTAGGTAGATGGGAGTGACAGGAGTTTGGGAATATTTTGGTCATTGCATATATAACCTGCCAATATAACCTGCTTGCCAACATGTTTATATATTGCATATATAACCCTACTTGGCAAGCAGCTCTGGGCCATTTACAAATGTGGGAAAAAGGTGTTTTTATTTCAAACTAGAGTTAGAGTGCAAAAGATGTTAGTCCTTCTCACAATAGGTGAACAAAGATCGAATAAATACATGAATTATTCAACAACATATCATTGTATCTTGGAATAAATGAAACTTGATGAGAGGATGCCGTTGGAAACACATCATAGTTGGAATAAGAGCTTTACACACCAGCGTCGTTTTGTTTTTATGCATTTGTCTTTTATTTATTTTTCCTGATTGAAATGTATTGTAAGGTCATAATTTGTCATTCATCACATTACATGGCATGATGCACCAGGTCTACTACACCCATTTACAGGAGGAATACACGGAAACATACACAAGGTTTTACAATGGGGAAACAGGAAGTTTAGCTCATTGCACTTACAACAGTGAATGGAACACTTTGTAGTCATTTTTAGGCTCTCAACCTTTTTCTGTGTTTTATTTTCGCCCTCTTTTTCGTCATACAATTGGATTATTTTATATATTTATATTTTTTACACATCTCCAGTTTTTCAAACACCCTCTCACCCCTCTTCATCTCTTCCATCTCCCCATAAAACTATCCCTCGACCCCGCCCCTCCCCCCACTAAAGAAATTACATGGAAGCCAGAATATTTTCCCCTTTTTTTAGTTTTTCATGTCATCTCATGTTACAAACACAACATGTATAGAAACTCTACACAGACCAATATGTTTTTATCACTTTTTTCATATCCAAATACAACTTTTTAATGGGTTTTAAACAGTCCGCACGAGCCAGCCACATACATCGCACACCATGAATTCTTTGTAAGTTATTGTTCAAATCAACTCGTTTGGTATTATGTTCTGTCTTTATACGCTGAGGCTTCCACACACACACACCAGCGTGTGCCTCTCTCATGCCTGTGCGCATGTTGCATGTGTCTGTGATGCTGTAATTTTGAGATCAACATGTCGAACAGAACATGTCCTTCATGGCATTTACATTTTGATTTAAATGTTGTTAGTTCAAAGTGAACCTTGGTCAGTTTTTTTTTTTTTTTGGGCTTTTTATGCCTTTAATGCAGAGACAGGACAGTGGATAGAGTTGGAAACCAGGGAGAGGGAGTGGGGAACGACATGCCACGGGTGGAGGTGAACCCGGGCCTCCCGCTCAAGACGGCAGCCTCAATACATGGGGCGTGCGCCCTAGCCATTGCACCACCAGCGCGCCCCTGAACCTTGGTCAGTTTTAATCTGGTATTTACACTGGGGGGGAAAAAATATGGCAGCCTGTGAGGTGGGAGGTCAAAGAGGTTCAAAAGGTCAAGAGACAGGGGAGGAGTGGTGTCCCAATCATGCACTTGGATGATTCATTACAGGTGAAAGGTGAATAAACACTCCCTGACGGATGGACTTTTCTCTCATGGTTTAGTTTATTACATCATTCCTCCTTCCTTTGAACAACCTCTCACCTATAAAACATGTATTCATTTTTATATATATATATATTTTTTTGTGTTTTGTAAAGTCTTTCTCCGGCCCTGCTATACATCAACTGTCCGACACCACTGCTCATGCAGGTACTACACTACAAACTGTACAAGCACTGTTTGCTACCTTTTTTTGGTTCAGACTGATTCAAAGACAAGGTCAGCTTTTGGAGGATTTCTTTTGAAAAACAGATCTGATTAGAGCAACCTCTCTTGTCGGCTATATGTCAGTAAATGTGAGCCTTTGTGTTTTATTGCAAAAATCAAAGAATTGTTCCAAACTCAAAAGACAGTTAATGGAAACTTTAGTTCTGTATATTTAGACATTTTAAATCACACATTTTTTTCACTCAGGATTTTCTTCTATTGTCAAAGGGATTAGGGGGTAAAAGGAAAAAGGGTTTTCCCCGTGCCCATTTCAATTAATATCTGTTCACACTATAACATGAAACACAACTCTAAGTTGTTTGACTGTTGTCTACATTTGTGCTTTAAACAACTGTTAAGAACAGGTGATAGTGTGTCCATTTTGACCACAGGTGATGGTGGTAATCTGGAACAAAGTCGGTTGCATTTTTCTAGATATAGACAGACACGCTGCAGAGCATAGACAGAGTCCACTACTGGCTTCAGGGCAGTAACAGAATGGCTTTCTTCAGTGACTAGTATTGTATTGTTCAAGCCCTTTGCTGCTATGCATATTTAAGTCACCTTCAGTGGCTGTTTTCACACAGGAGCAACACATTTTTACATCTAAATGACTGATTGATAGGCATATTACTAAACTCCTCTTGTTATTGATCACAATGGGAAGATCACATCTGTGTCGTTTTATCGAACATCAGATTTATTGCCCCTGCATAAATCCATCCAATGTTTTCTAACGCCTAATGGAACGTCTCGGTTGCTTTAATGCTTTGCTTTCCTGAGGCAGAAGTGATTTAGGAACGTTTCATCTAAAATGCTTTACAAACTTCCAACACACATGACATACACTAGAGGAAGTTGGTATGTTGGGTCAATTTAAACTCTTCTTCTAAATATTTGTGTTCTACTTCAACAAGTGTTTTCTCTTTTATCCTTCAATGGTTTATTCACTGATCTGGTGGCAATGTACCTGTGAAATCACTGCTCTAAGCTTTAAACATCTCGACGGGAACAAGCAATGTGTGACAGAGAAAGTGGATCCAAACATGACCAAAATATTAGCAAGAAATTCTCTACAGAGGCTTAAGACACTGCCAAAACAATTCAATTCAGTGCTGACCATTGGAGTTACATTATGTCAGTTTCAAATCTTCGATACATCGAAACCCTGAACTGGCATTTCAGGCCTGGAACAGGAACGATAATTTTACGCACCAATCTCATGATCTGAGACCAAACAACCAGGACACGTGTTTAATAAGGACGACTCAAAGAACTATCTTCTCCAAGAAAATATGTGTTGAACGTGATTATTCTGGGCTGTGCATAAATCAAGTGATATATGAAATCTGCATAAACTCTTTATATGTCACATTATTTGAAACCGACTCTTTCTTTACTCCCAGCCTGCTCTGTAACTCCTCTCTGTATGATAAAATAAATTCTAAAATAAATAAATCCTCTCATTAATGCTTCACAAAATATAAATATATATGTATACTAGCTTTTATTACAATGTCAGTGACTTATCAGGCCAAACTTCAAAAAAGTTATCGAAGGAGTTTTGAAGGACTAAAGAGATGTTTTTTATACTGCATAAAACCACCTCTTTTTAAAAAATCTGTATTCTTCATAAATAGCCTCTCTATATATTTGCCATGTTGGCTTGATACACGTTTAGATAGTTTTGTTATCTTGTTTGAGGTACAGATATTTATTTGTCCACAGTGTATTTATCTTATAAATCTTAATCCGTCGTGGCAGTGCACTTTTTCAACGCTCAAACACATGTACACAAACACTCTCACACCGGATAGTTCCCTGTAGGAATGCCTTGAATAGCGCTTCAACAGAAGCCCTCAATACTCTTCAATATGATATACATTATTATCTATCATCTGTGTATATATAGGTATTTGAACTGGCTTTGTGTTTGACCTAAATCATCTTCTTATATTTCTGTCTCTTCAACATGAGAACAAGGGCACATTAAGGTAGCTGAGCATGTCATTTTGGTGACAGATGGCAGTAATCGTAAAAAAACAAAAACAATAAAAGGACCTTCTCTTCTTCACACCTCTGCAGACACAAACTAAACATAAGGGATATATTGCAGTATTTATATGTATTCTTAATTCATACAAATAATGTATTTCTATAGATCTCTTGACATATTTTCTGTATGTTCAACCCACCACCTGCCCTTGTTTTATTTTGAAATCCCTCTGGCAGAAGCACCAACTAGAGAGAGAATAGGGCATCCTGAACATGCCAGGTAAACACAAGTAATATAAACAACCTTCCTATTATTTCATAAATTACTGGTGACCTACAATTTACACAAACAAAGTCACAGAACCTCCTTATTTTTAAACTATGAGGATTTCCACAAGAAAGCAATTTTTTGATTTTAAACTCAGGTGTGATAAAACAATGCTTGTGTGACTATTCCCCGTTTTTGTGTTTCCACTTCACTTTTCCTCCTTGTGTTTCTGTTTCCTTTCCCCAAATATGATTCATTGCATAGAAGGACTGGAGATGAGAGGTCGCCTCTTCTGCTCACCATTTTTGTTGTGGTTAAAACTTGTGGTTGTCTTTGTTTTTCTTTTCTTTTCCACATTGTATGATGGTTGTTAAATACACGCATACGGACCTTCACACACTTACATACAAACATTAGGAACAGAACAATATAGAGGTGACTTTTGAGGTTTTTTTCCCGCGCCGGGCAGCATGCGAAAGTTCCCAGCGAGCGTTCACACAGACAATATACAGCAGAAGTCGGTTGGTTCGTTGAAGGCCTCACAATATTTGGCCCGACAGAGTAATGTTTTTGAGTACCGAACCACAGATCCCACAATGCACTGCAGGAGCAACAGCAGGGAGAACACTGACCTGAGAAGTATCCATGACAACTGACAGTCTGAGAGAGAGGTTTTTTTTTTGAGGGGGGAGGCGGGGTTGGGTTGCAGGTCTGGACGCCACCACAATAGAAAATGAGAAGTTAAAAAAGGCGAGTGGCTTTGTGACACAACCAAGTGTGATGTTTTTGGTTCCTCAGTCACATGAGTGCTGACTTCTTTTTCTCTCTTTTTCAACACTATCTAAGAGTGTGCTTTCCCGTGCACTGTGCACAGTTGACAGAGTGAAGACACATGCTGATACACACTTTACGTGTAAGGACTCCATCCATCTTGGATGGTCAGAAAGAATCACATCCACACCCCCAACCCCTGCAGGTTGCGACGTCAAAAGTCCAGTTCTGCTGTGAAGTGTGACGTGTTTGCTTTTCAGTGCCTCTCTGCTGTCCTGCAGTGCTGCGGATCAGTCAGACAGCTGGCTCATAAGAGCAGCTTTTCACTCCGATCCGCTGACTGAAGACATCGTGATGTCTCATTATCGGTTTGGAGGAGGAGATCTGGGCGGTACCAAATGTTTGTTCATCGGTGATCTCCTGTTCTCGGATGTATCAGTACAGAAGTGGTACATTATTGGAGTACGTTTTGTGGTAAGTGAAAGTCAGTCTTAACGGTTCATCAGTGATAAAGTAGACAGACGGAGGCAACACATTACTGTTTCACCAACTTTTTAAAATGACACAAGATTGTGCTCTTAACTTTCTTTACCACTAACTCTATTGCTTTTGTAAGTATTGATAATAAATAAGAGTCAGAAAATCGACTGTGTGGGGGGGCTTGATGAAGGTAACAAAACATTACAAAAAAATAAATTAAAGAAAAAATTATATCACTTAAGTTATCAAAAAACAAATAAATTAAAAAAATATAAATTAATCTCCCTGTGGCCAGTGTTCCTGCTGATATTTCTACATTAAAAAAAAAGTGTGATGAAAATGTGTTCACATGGTGTAATAAAAAAATATGCCATTTTCCCTGGAAAATAAAACGTTTTAAAATGATTAAGGCGATATTGGTAACCTGTAACAAAAGAATAAATAAAAACCAGGCAAATAAAAAAACTAAACTCTAAAATAGAAAACATTAAAAGAAGACACAAAGAAATGATAACCACTTACAACATCGAGTGAAATATATGAGGACCATGTTGTCGAGCAGTTGCAGAAAAACCCTACGAGCACAAGCACCGCAGGTAAATGTTGTCTTAATGGCTTTATAATGGCTGAAAAACAACCCAACCACAAACCGCTTCACTCCGAATACCAAGCCAACTTTCCTTTAAAAAAACACAAAAGGCTCCTTATAATCCCGTGGCTCAATTCCTGTGTGTTGCTCCAGAAATCTTTCTCCTTTGTTTTAGTTTACATTATTAAGCCAAGGTGTGTATCCCAGTTTTTTTATGGCCTCTGTTAAGTAATGATGAACAGTGTAAGGTCTTGGATATAAAGTTCCATGCATTCCAGATTCCTACATCTTTTTTTTTTTCTTCTTTGAATCCACTATACACTTCTTTAAAGACATGGCAAAGATTATTGGGCGGTGGGGGGGGGGTTAGAAAGTAAGTCGAAATCAGCATTCAAGAAACACAGACAAGTCGAAGAAGAGTGGAAGCAAAAGGTTTTTCCGATCTGGAATGTAGATAGAAACAGAGCAAACTGTGGACAGCACACTTGTTCTCTCTGCGTGTGTACATCATTTTTTTTGTCTTTTTCATTCAGTATGACATTTCCATTTATTTCCCTCATGGTAGCAGATGTAATAAGAGGTCTTTCGTACCAGAAAAGCCTGCGTTTCTTCGCTGAGTTTTATTCCTCTCCCCATTCTTATTTTTTGACTTTACGAGGAGATAGAAAAGAGGAAAGACTCTGCATATTTTTTGTTTCTTTTAGTTTGAGCACAGGACTGTGAAACCAAGGATCCTAGCATGCCATCGATGCTTATGGTATGGATACCATTTCGCTGTTAGCAGAGGAAGAAGAAAAAAAGCAGCTCTATAAAGAGTGAAGTCGTCAGCATATTGGAGTAGAACTGCATCATTTCCTTCCATCAGATCTGCAGCGATGAACCAACATGGAGGTTTGAGGTGGCAGATGTCTTCCATGGGTTCGGCTTGTCTTCAACAGCTGCACGAATCTCAGGCGACGTAAGCATATCTCCCTCTACTGGCACGGAAGAAGAGTAGCAGCTGGCTGCCAGTTAGTGTAATCAAAGGCCCGAGATGTGTCTCGCTGCTACAGTTCCAGGGCTCCACTGTAGTTTGATGGAGTCTACTTCTTTGGCTGGAGACACTGGATGGAGGATAGACCTTCTGAGGATGGATGTTGGCTTGAAATGATCTGTGGAAAAAAAAATGTCAAAAGAGTAAATTAGTCACAAATATCGAGCCCCTGTGTGCTAATATTCTCTTAAAGGGGGCAGAACAATCTTTTCACGAAAATCTTTTCAATTGAACAACACTGTAACCCCTGGAAACGGCACACCACCATAAACTGTCAAATTACATAAGGTTGGACATAAATCGGGCAAGAGTTTCCGAGTTGTTGTTCCGACTTGAGCAGGAGTTCATGTGCATTTTACAACTCAGAAACTCGTTTTTCCGATGTGTCCAACACCACATGAATATAGCATATGACACATTATTTCCCAGGCTGTAATTGGTTGATCCAAAAAAGAAAAGAAAAGAAGAAAACAGAGACTGAAATCATTCGACTTAATCATAGAATCTATCACTGTGAATGTACATATATGTATAGATATATACTATTTCATTTAAATGATCAATATACGCACTTATTTATGTAAATACTGTAATTGACATGTTAATTGACCCATCTGTCACATAACTGCATTTTACTTATTATCATGTTACTTCAGCATCTTTTGCACTATTCACCACTGCACTGTTTCATATTTAGTCATGTAAACTTTAGTCTTTTGTTTTTATGTTTATTGTTGATATTTAATGTTGTACCTGTATATAAGAGAGCACACTTCACCGAAGTTAAATTCCTTGTTTGTGGAAGCATACCTGGCCAATAAATCTGATTCTGATTCTGATTCTATTTAATGTAATGAACCTGCTGAATAAATTGTAGGCTATATACTTTAAAAGTACATAGCCTACAATTTTTTTGAAAACACACGCCCACTTGTGCAGCGTACTCTTCACCTGCTGAACCATTAATCAGTGATTAGATGCCCCTGTGGTGGAGTAAACCACATGTAGAGGAACTCAACATGCACGCATCATTTTGCACTGAAGAAAGACCAAGATAGAGAGAAAAGTCTCAGCACAAATAATTGCTGTCTGCGCAGCCTAACTATGATTAAATTTCAGTATTCTCAATCAAGACTCCTGTCTGTACTTCTTTTGATCTCTTCCTCACCGTACCCTTAAAAATAAAAACAAGTAAATACATTTCAGTACTTAATCTAATTGATATTTACATGAGTGACAAAGCTTTAAATGGTTATGTGATCACTTGTTTCTCAGTCTTATTTCTCAGTCTACTCCTCTGCTTTAGAACTCTTAAACCTCTTAAACGTCCTCCTCACTACTCCTAACACTTTTTCACCTTAAAGCGCTCTTAAGGGCTACAATGCTTTGTGAATAACTTTAATCCTTACCAGGATCTCGTCTTAACTTAAAGGGGAAATTCTCAGAAAATGTCCTGGCAACTCTTTGTACTAGGACGCTTTGTGAATACTGCCCTGGTGAGTTTTATGACCTGTTGCATTTGAGATATGTGCATAGTTTTAACTTGCATCTGTAATTATTCATGAGAGAGTTAAAAAAATTTCATCAAAGCTAAATTAGGCATCAGACATTACAAGCCTTCAGAGTCTTATTCCAGGCTGTCTTTGGCCCCTCCATGACCTCCTGTTTCCTGGTAGCTCCAGTAGCAACATGTTTCTTAAAAGGATATACCCATCTTTTTAGAATCACTGCCTTCTGGTTTTCTTCCCACTGTGACTGACCCAGATTAGCAAGGTGCATGTTTATAAGTGCTCAGGACCAGACTTAATCTGTTTCAGTGAGCACAGTCCCCCCCAAAGGACTGATACACAACACACACACACATACACACACACATACACACACACAAACAACACCACAAACACAGGCGCAATGATACACACAGATATATTTGAATATGAGCGTGGACAAACACACACAGACAAGCTGACTCACTGGACTGAGAGAAGGAGGGAGGGGGAAAAGCTATGGCTGTAAGCATTGGTTCTCAACTGGTGGGTTGGGACCAAAAAGTGGGCCGTGGAGCTGTTTACAGTGGGTTTGCGAAAGTTTGTGAACATATTTGTTTTTTCTCAATTTCTTTGTTCCGTCAACTGATTTGTACTGTCTGAGCTCCAAACTGTACATTTTTCATCAAATTGATCTGATTGGTTGAAAAATATCAGAAATTTGGGTTTTTCATGAAGGGGATGGTTGGTCCTGATGCTTGACCGGTTGAGAACCACTGGGATGAAGTATATGGACACATGCGGTCATATCTTTTGGTCTTGGGATATTTGCGCTATTCCAACATTACTGGGTTCACCTAACAAACATCCTACTTCTAAATGGGGGACACAATCCTGCAGATAATTAAAGGCTGCTCTAAAGTTCCTCAAGTTCCTGTGGGGAGTTTTTACCTGGTTATGAAACTGACTGAAAATTAATACCCATGATGACTAGTGTTTTATTCTGATGATGACTAGTGTTTTTTTCTGAGTGCAGCATCTTTTTAAAACTGTTTTCAATGAGTAGAGAGCTTTTGCAGCAGCAGGTGACCGCCTGGAGAAAAAGCCCAGCGCCCGGCATCTTCTTTCCATGCGCCCTGCCTTCTTTGTGCGGCCACTCTGAGGCCTTCAAATTGAAAATGACTCTTTTGAAAATATATTATATTCCCCATATTTTTTCTGCCTACCAATAGGGTCCCACATCCTCTTTGCTCTGTGTCTGATCGGGAAATAAACAGTCTAAAATTTAAAAACCATACAGTAAAAAGTAACGGAGCAGTGTCGATCATATAGTGACCATTGTCAGACTGTTGTCATAGAGACACGAGTGACGTCCTAGTGAAGACACCCATGCAGAGAGAGCTAATTAGGAAGTGATATTTTGAGAGAACAAGGAGGGCGAGAGAAAGATGGCAAAAAAAAGTGAGAAATGGAGAGGAGAAAATAGAGACAAAAAGCAGTGATGTGTGACAGTGGGAGTAGAGTGTAGGAGTTGAGAGGGAGAAATCTCTTTGCAGCAGTCACATGAGGCAGTTCATCAGCACATGGCTGCACAGCACACAGTAACACAAGCTCAGTACATTATCTTTTATAGCACATATTCTGCACACTCTGAAATATAACAGCAACATCAATGCATGCTAATCCCCAAACGGCACTGCACCAAGACAAAAAAAAAACCTTTCAGACAGAAAAAAAAGCATCTACCAGACATAGTTATTACTTCTCCTATTTTTACTTTCTAAACTTACATAACACATTTCTACACTTCAATCAAATTCACATCCAGCATAATGAGCTTAGAGGGATGTTCAAATATGAACATTTAATTTGCATTGTAATATTTATTTTTATCCATTTTTTTTTAATATTTATTTAAGATCATTAAGTAGCTATTGCCTGTGGAATATACGAACATGTATGAACATATTTTATGATTATGTCGGGGAAACTCATAGTATGTGGTTAAAGTAAAACAATGTTTTGGTCTTGCAGAAATATTGAAAATGTTTCTCCTAAATGTCTCCAAAATTAACCTCGTAGAATTTGTGTTTATTTAGCATATATCTAGCATTAAGGGTTACACATGCACAGAACAACTGCAAATGATGGAAGAGTCAATCATGGAACTCTTCTCAAGGCCTCATTTACCCAAAGAGGTTGAGCAGCTCTTGAACCTGCTAAACCTGTGCAAATGAGTCAAAAAGACACTAACTGATTCACAAAAATTATGCAAAAAGTTGAATGAAAAACCAGTGCTGTTTGTGCACATTTTAAATGTGACATTATACAGTCATTTGGGTAGGAATTTAACTATTTCTATGCAAATCAGCCTATTTGCAGAAAGTGTCTAAACCACAAACACTGGCACTCACAGCCAGGCACTGTGAGAGTGAAACAAAATGACCGTCTGCTGAGACTAGGTGGTAGCTGCGCTGCAGTATGTAAGTATATAAGAGATATCGCACACAATTTTCGGAGATCAGGAAATCAAGGAATTCTTGCATCTTCTTTCAGTACATTGGATTAATGTGAAGACCATTTAAAATGTACAGCCTTTAGGGAGCATTAGCACAACAAAGATCAATGCTAGCTCGGCATGGTCAGATTAGCATGGCATGGACTTCTTTTAAATACTTTCTTTTTGTATTTTTCTGATCAAACACCTCTCACTGTTTCGGTTTTGTATTCATTTTATTGTCAAACACACTCTTATGCTATTTCACTCTGATTTTTTTCTTCTCACTGGTTTTAGATTTTATTGTGTTTGTCATTCTTCAGTTGTAAGTGGATTTCTGTGCTGTTGCTATTGAAATTAAGATAAATAAACCTGTCACTGTTTTTTATGTATTTTTTAAAAAGACACCATTGTGTGATGACAGTGGAGGCAGAACAAAGGAAACTAAATCAGGTTCTCTGAGAGATGTCTCATTTTTTCTGGGCTCACTGACTCACATTGAATGTTGATAAAACACTAACACTATGATTCCTGTTCAGTGTTTTCAGCATTTTACATTCTGTTTTTGATTCATCAAGAGCGAGGAGGAGCTACCTGCCTGACTCTGATCCCTTTTATTTGGGGAGTTTGATTTCCAGAGTCAATAGTTTTGAACTAAACAGCATTCATTAATTACTGACATGCATTTGGAACAAGAAAGACTTGGCTGGCTGAGTTGACCAACATAGCTTCCAAAGTCCCAAGCGTGACCTTTGTCTTTGCACTCACATAGACACTCAGCATAAACATTAAGTTTTGCAAATACATATTTTTGCTGAAATATTATTATTAATAATAATAATAATAATAATAATAATAATAATAATAATAATAATAAGTAATTCAAACCCTTCAATCACAGAAACAGCTCCAAAGCACGACAAGAAGTAAAAACTGCAACAGATAACCTTTAGACTTATTGACGGTGTGCCATGTGTTTCTGTTTGATCAAGATGCTATGTTTACCATCATATAGTTGACTTTTCTGTGTGATCCAAACTCCAAAAAAGTGCGTAAGTACACTGATTAATTCTTCAATATTTAATGTGAAACATTATTAAACTAGTATTTAAACTAGTATGCATGAAAAACAAAGTCTTACCTTGCAATAACATTTATTGTGCTCATGTAACTGGTGAAACATTTCTCCATGGAATCACTTAAGTGAAAGGTAACTTACTGTCTGGCCTGCCAGAGAGCTCAGTGAGTTCTCTCTGTCAGTGTGCGCTCAGCCATGAGACATGAAGTATCCAGAGGAGTCCAGTCCTTGTTGGCTGCAAGAGGAAGCAGCAGCGTTTAAGATGAGATGATTTTTCTGAATATAAACATCCATCATCCAGAACATAGTTTCAAATTATTAGACCAAAGACTACCTGATAATATAAATTACATAAAGGGGAATTGATTCATTTATCCTACTTTGTAGTAACTTGTCTTCAAACAAGAAAGACTCAGGAGACTCAGATGACTTAAGTTGAAGATGTTTATCATTTGTATGACTTGCAAGGAGAATTGACATGAACAGCACACATATGATACAGTGTCTTGCCAAGCCAGTTCTGTCAGACCGTCTCATAGGCTTCGTATTTATCCTAAAGATGATGCTAAAGTCCGGGACATTTTACCCTTACCTACTCTTCCTTAAACTTGAATGTGACATCTAACATAATGGAGAGCAGACACCAAGTCTACCAAATAATCCAGATATGAGGGGAGACACAAAGTGACCTTGGCTGGCCTAGTCACAGCTAACCCTATCAGCTGTGACTGTCGCCAGGGGCAGGGACTAAGCTCAATAATAGGCGTAAGAATCACCAGAGGCCTCACGATACAATGTTATCACGATACTTGAGTCACGATTTGATACCGTTGCGATTTTAAACATTTTGTGATTTAATGAGAATTGTGATACAATATGTATATATCAATTTTACTTTTTTAACTGGATATTATGTCCACAAAATGAAACTGAATCAAAAACTGTTCAGTAAAATAAGAAAACATTCTCAGGCTATTCATCTCACTTCAGTCTTTTTTTTTTTCTACACAATGGGAGTCACGCCCTCAGACTTGGCAGTTATCCAAATGAACCCACAAAGTGTTGCAGTGTTAGTTGGTGAAATTGTAACTGAAGCACTCACCAGTATGCTCAGCTCTCATCAGCATCCTCTCTCTCTCCTTCTTCTCTCTCTCTCTCTTTAAGTGAAACATAAGCAGGGGGAACGTCACAGGTTTTTCTGGTACAAGGCCTCATAGAGTCGTCATTTCACATTTACATAGTCCTGTAAATACATGGAAACATTCAGTCAGTTCATATAATATAGTGTAACTTCATGTTAGACGAGAGAAGATGTCAAAACATTCTCCGTCAAAATAGTAAAAACAGAAATCTATGTAGATAATGAAACATTTTTAAAGACGCTTTGGTTCAGATTTTTACAATGGATTAACGTTGGGTCTTCATAAACATATATAATATAACAGTACAACATTTGCTCTGTATCTATATTGGTTCCAAACATGGGGTCTGGGCACCCTTAGGGGGAGGCCAAAGATCTCAGGTGAGGTGAGGCTTTGTCTGATCTGAGGTTATTAAAATTAGATTTGCACATACAAAGTTCAAGAAAATAAAACCTCATTGATTAAATCACAAATTGGTCTAATTTCATGAACAATAGGCTTATTATGGGATTTACAACATGCACTGTTCAATTGGAAACTGGTTCTCCACACACTCAAGACCAAATTCATGTCATTCTCCAAAGCCAGAGACATTGCAGAAGATGGTTAACCTATCCCAAGTTTGACAGGACAGCATTTAAAGAGTCATACATTTCCTGGTGTGTGTCTGATTAGATCACACATTCAAATTCCACATCAAAACCCTAGCCAGCATGTTAAGACAAAAACTTAGATTCCTCTATAGGAACAGAACAAACTTCTCAATGCTGAGCAGAAAACGGATCATGGAGGCTGTCTTTTTGATCTGTTCTGGATTATGGCAACGTTGTCTTTAGGAACGCCACTGCTTCCACGCTTTTGCTCCCCTAAATTCTATTTATCACTCTGCTCTCAGAGTCATTACAGGCGACAGGTACTCCACACATCATTGCATTTTATATGGGCTGGGCCCCTCTGTAACTATGAGATGTGACAGGCTTTGTGTTCAAAATCCCGCCATATATATCTCTTTTTTATTAAAACCAGTCTCATAGTCAGCACTAGCTCTCAACACGTTCCAGTAAATGGCTGAAGCTCGAAGTCCCACGGGCAAACACTTCACTTTGAAAAGCTGCCTATAGCTTCTCTGCTGCATTCACATTGAACACTTTGCAACAGACTTTCAAACTACGGCTCAATTTCAATCTGTGATAACAAACTACACTGCCTTTGAATGTAACTGTTTTTGATGTCAGAGTGTAGCTGCTTCATACTGCTACACCAGAGTTGTTTGGGGGTTCAGTGTTCAAGGGTACCTCAGCAGTACTCGGGAAGTGCCCTGGCACCAATTTCCATATTTTGGTCCACACCGGAACTTGAACCAGCGACCCTTCGGTTTCTAACGCATGTCCCTACAGACTAAGTTACTGCCGCCCCCATGTTGTCATTCTTTGTAATTATTGCCCTCCCTCTGAGGATAAACCTATCCATCCTAGCTCTCCTCCAAAAGTATTTTTTCTCCTCCTCCCTCAAGCATTTCAGGAATTGCGACATCAATCCAAAGATTTAGCTGAGATCAATTTCCAGGTCCAGGACAAGAGGCGAGCAGGAAATGTGAGATGAGAAGGTGCAAAATAGAGAAAAGGAAAGAGCCGATGCTTTAGGAAGACACCGCCTGATCTGAGTAAACCACTTTAATCTGCTCTCTTCCTCTCTCTGCTGCCCACAAGAGTCAACACACAGCATGCTGGAGCTCTCTGTCAACATCCCAGTAGACCTGAACTGGCAGCATCTCACAGAGAGATTCATTTTTATACCAAGTGTTGCCAAGTGTTGCACTTGAACTGAAGAAAATAATAATTTCCAGTCCTTTGTGAGGGAACAATTTTTCACTCTTTATTTAAGAGATCGATTGATTTGTTCCACATCAAAGTAGTTTGAAAATAACGAACAGAATCAGTAGCTTATTGTTAATCAAGAAAGGACAAACTTGGTTCGTAGGATGAAAACATGTTTCTTCTAGCTGTTTTAAATAAAAGAACCTTGTGTTTTTCTTTACAATGAAGCCCCAGGGGAAAATGAATAGCTTTTTTAGTTTTCCAGTCTGTCTGGCTTTTCTTGTAAATAGTTGGTAGGTTACACCTACCCATTCACACACTGATGGCAGGGCTGCAATGTAAAGTGACCATCATAAGTAACTAATCCCATTTGCACACATCCATACTCAACCAACAAACAGCAGGAGCAACTTGGGGTTAAGTGTCTTGCCCAAGGACACATCAGACATATGGCTGCAGGAGCTGCAGGGGATCGAACCCTCGACCTTCCGGTTGAGAGACAACGGAATCTACCAACTGAGCCACAGCTTTAGGATTCACAGGATAAAAAGAAATGAGAGAAACTGCATACCTTCAAATTAGTACTTTAGAACAAGGAGGAGAACTTCTTGCCAAAACCGGTGATAGCTGGAAAAAAAAAGAAGGCAAAGAGGTTAAAAGGTTGGTAAATGAAGGGAGACATCCAAATGACTTAATTAAACATAAAAACATACTATTTATCCTGACATTACATTTTAGTTTTTATATAGGCCTAGCAGCTCTTTGAATCAGGTATTATTCAGGAGTCTTTGTAATTGTTTTGTTTCTCTTTCTTTATTGACTTTACAACATGACATGTTAACAGTCACTTCAAACAGAGAGCCAAGAACCCTGTTTGAAGTATGCACTCATCAGTTAAGTAAAGTAACTAGTTTGAAATACTTTTTTTTAAACAGTGATTAGACTTTTAACATGCTGAAACTCGTGTTAGTGTTTTTGTGTGTCATACCATCTCCCAGTTTGCCGGCCTGCTCAGCAGCTGCTCCTGGCAGGATCTTGGACAGCATCCCTTCTCCCTCCATGCCGGGCTGACCTGCTGCTGCACTGCCTATTCCTCCTGGCCTAGGAGCCGCCTTGGAGCCTGGATGGGGCAAAAAAAAAAAAAACAGAAAGAGGAAGAGATGATGACATGAAGTGAGAAAGAGAAGACAGAAGTATTCTAAAGACACAGGACATTTTTTCACATGATGAAATCTCTTGGTGTCAAGTCATCAATACTGTTTCAATTGTATTATATCACCCTGTAAGAAGTTTACTTCTTTTAATTTATCAACTCCTTACTGTTCCTCCCTAGTAAACTAAATTATTAGCTTTATTAAGTCATAAGTTGCAGGCAAACTTCTAAATCACAAATTTAGGCAAAATAAGTGGCTGACTACAGGAGCGGTTCCCAAACTTTTTCTGCAGGGCCCCCCACTTTGGCAGATGAAAACATTTCCACTCCTCCCGTGTCTGGGTGACTCTGTCTGGATGGGAGCAGTCAAGTCAAATGCCTCTATACGCCCGTAAAAATATTTGAACCTCAATGCATCATGGTAGGCTATATATAGCTCGGATGGTGACCATCGGCTATCGGTGGCCATTCTCCTAACATCTTTCCTTAACCTCATGATGTTTTCCCTGGGGTTAAGGTAAAGTGGATAGTGAAAGGGGAAAGGAGGGACAATTCAGATGCACCTCAAGAGTTGACCCCCCCCCATGTTAGAACCCCCGACACACTTTGGACATCACCGGACTACAGTGATCATTTCATTAAAGACAGGTTACACACAGAGGAAGAGTGAAATCAAGTGAAGTTTCCATGAAGCACATTTTTATTTGTTGTCTCTGCTAAACTACATTAACAATACAATTATAAATTATAACTGTTATTATTATTTATCATAATCCAAAGACAATTTTGTTATAATATAAACTATGTATTTTTTATTCAATAACTGAGACCAAAAATCCAGGACCCTGGACATCGTCAGCACCACAAAAGGAGCCGTAAAGACCATTCAGGACCCTGGACAGCATTAGATAATATTTTTAGTTTGCTGCTGCTGATACTGCATAATAAAAAAATATTTTATGTTACTTTCAAATAAAGACTGTACAACATCTGACAGTTTGGAAAAGTTAAATTGCATGAGCATAAACTCTTTCTCATTCAAACTTCTTACCGCACCTGCAATCCCTTTTCAATATTGGATATTTAACGGCTAATTATTTGTATTACGTCATAAAATATCTGACTTCCACACTAGCTAGTTAGTAAGAACTCTCCAACAGTCCTGCTCCAATGACAAGAAACCCCCCTCGATGTTTTCCACTGTGGGATTATCTGCAGATTAATCTCTGTTTAGTTGAGACATCACACATTATTTTACATAGAAAAGGCAGAGAGGGAAGCAGCTGGTAAGATGTCGGAGCAGTGGGTGTATCGCTGTGTGTGTTTGTGTGTGTGTGTGTGTTTGTGTGTGTGTGTGTGTGTGTGTGTGTGTTTGTGTGTGTGTGTGTGTGTGTGTGTGTGTGTGTGTGTGTGTGTGTGTGTGTGTGTGTGTATGTGTGTGTGTGTGTGTGTGTGTGTGTGTGTGTGTGTGTTTGTGTGTGTGTGTGTGTGTGTTGTGTGTGTGTGTGTGTGTGTGTGTGTGTGTGTGTGTGTGTGTGTGTTGTGTGTGTGTGTGTGTGTTGTGTGTGTGTGTGTGTGTGTGTGTGTGTGTGTGTGTGTGTGTGTGTGTTTGTGTGTGTGTGAAGATTACACCCTACCTATGCCTGTAAGTGGCGGCTGGGCTGCTTTGTTAGCCATGACTGGTGCTGCCTTTGCTCCAATAGCTGTTGCTGGAGGGGTGTCGATCTTGGCCTTCAAAGAGAGATAGAGATAGTTTAAGACAGTGTTTGCATATTGTCAAATCACCACAAAAGTTATCTTATGATACTTAAGAGCAGGTCTAGACGGTTCATCATGTTGTTTACAAAGACAAAACAATTCCTATCATGCATAATCAAGAAATAACTGCCTGCCTTTTCAACAGGCAGAGACCCCTCAGGTATTCACAAAGCTGATGATAAACAGAAATGACAGAACTATGGGATTCAGCTCTATTTACTTAAACACAAGTTAATTAGAGGGAAGAGACAGAGAGAGTGAGATGGGGAGAGATAGAAAATTAAATCATGGAGGGATGGACAAGGTCATGATGGATGGACAGCTAACTAAATGACATGACTGATGAGCTGCAACATTGTCCACACAGACAACTGTCAATTTGAGGATCCCTGTTGAGAAAGGATCACTCATCTGCCTCTGTTTGAAGGTCAATACTCAGTGTTTCAGTGAAAGAAATAATAGTTGATGAAGTTGTCTATGTTTCCTTTTTATTTACATAATATTTGATGATTAATACACCTTCATTTCAGAGAAATCAACATCCTTTAAAGAAGATATATTGTAGTCTTCCCCGATGGACTCATTGGATCTTTAATATGTGTTTAGGAACTGCAGGTATGAGGTATTCTTTTTTTTTAGTTAGGTGAAGACTGTTCACCTAGCAATATTTGTTCCCCAAAAAAGCAATATCTACAAATATTTACCTCATCCATTCGTCTTAATTGTCTGGGTCTGCTGAGTCATTGTAAGCACTTTGAAAACATTTATATCTCCTGTTTATTTCCAGCTCAATATTTAACACTAAACCACATTGGTCTACACTTTCTGAGAATAACTTCTAAGGCTGAATGATATTGGAAAAGTTGACATTACGAGGGAAAGGAAATTAAACCAAGTAAATGCTATTTAGTTTCAAGTAAATCAATTCAAATTACACAATCATATGTTTTCTAAGTCATTTTCTGAGATCAAATCAAAACTCCCTCCTACTTTCATCACACTCTGGCTCCAGCCCTCTTACAGTGACTCTGAGCAGGTTCAGTAACACATTTCTTCATAAACATGTGGCTTTTTATTGTGTTACTTTAACCATTTCTGTTTTTTTTTTTTAATTTTTAAAGATTTATTTTTGGGCTTGTTCTGCCTTTATTGCAGAGATAGGATGGTGAATATAGTCAGAAATCAGGGAGAAAGTGAAAGAGAGAGGGTAATTAAATGCGGGAAAGGAGCCAAATTTGAACCTGGGCCACCCACTTGGAGGACTATCGCCTCTCTACATGGGCGCACTAACCACTACACTACCAGCATCCCATTATCAACCATTTCTAACGATGTTCAAAGTTATGTTTAGTCTATGACTAGCCCAGTGATAGTAACTTCTAATGAAATGAAAGCTCCCTCTCTTGAGCTGCCTATGACTCACAACAATTCTGTGCTGCAGGTGAAGCTGCCAAAAGAAACAATAAGTGGCACAGCGGCTCCTTCAATAATCGATTTATGTGGCCACAGCATTATAGCACAGGGATAATTTGCTGCTGATTGCAGGAATACACTCATTTCAAAGCTGTGATTGAGCGTCTGCCTCAAGCATCTTGTTGGTATATCTGTGATAGCAGCAGCAACACATGTAGCCTGTACATTTTTTATATGCACCGGACACACAGACTCTGCATGCACAGTTCTCTGACTACTGTGTTGATATCAGACAGACTATTATTGTAGATTGGAAATGAGACAACTGGTGGTTTTGGTTTCTATCAAACATCACAAAAGTGGCAGCATGACATTCTTCACTCGGACTGTGATGTGACTATTGCACATGCGCACGTTGCAATTGCGATTATGAAACAATATATTGTGCAGACCATATCTATTCTGAGATAAATCACTATAAAAGTTTGAATTACCTCAACACAGGAAATATTGTATATAATTTGCTCCTGTGTGTTCCTTCCTGGTTTTTATGTCCTAACTTTTTACTTCTGTTTATCTTTTTTTTGGTCTTTGTGTCACTTCTGTTTTAAAAAAAACTTTCTCAAAACTGTTTAACAGACTGGACTGATGCCAAATTATCACACAATATTCTGTATTTGTTTCCCTACTCCAGTTTAGTTGCAGCAATGCTGAGTTGTTGCATCATGAGGTATCGTTCGGCTTACAGAATTTCATTATTTACAGCTTTTCAGTCAATGCTTTTAATTACACAATGGACCTAACATAAAAATGTAAGTGGATGAGTTTGCAGTCTGAATAATAATCATATGAAAAATACCATTTACAGTTTATGGCTTCCCTGTCAGAGCTAGTCACCAGCAGAGCTTTCAGAATAATTTCCCAGACACATTCCTGCATAATTTGATCCTAGACCATATGAATTATTTCACTTGGCTTTCCCCGCGGATAACACAACAATGCAGCAATATGAAAATCATGAACGCCTTTCAGGAGCTGAGGGAAACCATGAATAATTTGGGGATATTCATGATGGTGACAGCAGCTTTCTGAACGTCATTGGCAACACAGTCATATATTTACTGAATACAGAATACATTCAAGTAGAGAATCATTATAATATAGGACATTTAACAGTTAATGTTACAGGTTTAGATATTTCAACTCCAATACCTCATAGATAAACATGGATTTATGATTATGGAAAAAAAGCAGGAAGTTTCCAAGCAGGCATTCAGAGTGCTAGCAGACAGTGAATCAGCGACAGTCCTATCCTATCAGCTGCCTCTGTGTTAATCACAGTGTTAGATAAGGCCTGCCAGCAGACGCACAGCAGAATATAAATAAACCATCAAAACTGGGAGGAGTTGAACCAGCTCTTTTCTATGAGACAGACATGGCAGGACGGAATGGAAGCAACGCTTAAAGATGAAGAGGGAGTTGTAAGAATATGTAAAATGTTTATCTTTATCTGGAATAACTCAAATAATACCCGATTCTTCGTCATATTTTTTTCAATTCTTTCATCTCGTCCTTACTATCTTTACTCACCATTGTGGGTGGCGTGGTTCCTGCCGGACCTGTCTGTCTGGCCTGCCCCATTGGTCCACCGGCTGGTCCCATCTGCCCGGGCTTTGCTTGGTTCTGCCCCATGCCCATTCCTTGTCCCTGTGCTGGGGACTGCTGCAGAGGACCAGGAACTGCTGCAGCCCCAGGCTGCCCTGGTCTGGCTGCTGATGTCTGGGCTTGCTGCTGGAGCTGGGTCCTCTGTCCTGAAGTCCCATCTGTCTGGGCACCTGGACCCCCCTGTCGCCCTGATCCCATTGGCCCGCCAGTGGGGCCCTGAGCACGGGAAGCGCTGCCAGACCTGGAGGAGCCTGGAAGACAAAAATGTATTTCTTTTTTAAATTAAGAATTTAAGCTCAGTGTTCCAATCTTTCCTATCTTACCACATGAACTAGAAAAGGGGTAAATAACATCTGTTTCTTGTCTTATGTGAACAGTTGCTGGAAAAACAATCATTTTACAGTCAGGTCCAGCGTATTTAAATAGTTTCTTTTGCTTGGGTACATCTGTCTTTCAATTGCATCATCATTAAAGTAGAAGTTGAAAGGTGAAATAGTAATTAAAGTGAGGGGGACATGCCACAAATGTTGTGAGTAATGATCAAACCAGTGATTTAATGAGTATACCAGTAAGAACACAGCCACAGTGGAGCCCTGGGAGGAAACATTTATCTGAAAAGTTACGGTTGAAATAGTTGATTAAAAACTGTTGATCCTTGAGGGGACAGCTGATTATAAAAGAGTCTCAAACTCAGTCTGAAAAACTGTGGATATTACATATTGCTGCCACAGACCTTAAAAGAAATTCACAGACATTTTTCCCCACAAGATAAATGCTAATGATTGCTCTGGTAAAGATTTATTGTAAACCATATTAAAGGAAAATGTGTGGAGGTCTGTTATAAAACAGATGTCACAAACATTTAATCTGTTTGATGGCCCTATTTATCCTGTATGACTCAATAAAGTCTGCATTTTAAAAAAGATCACAGGTGTTAAACATTGGATTATAAATAAAATACAAACGTTTTTTTTGAGTGAAAAAGATAATAAGAGAAGATACTGAGTTAAAAGAGAAAAGTGACTCTAACTAACTACTACTGTTTTAGTAAATTCAGCAGAAATCAATGACTTACATTAAAGGAGCAATATGTAACTCTGACATGTAGTGTTTAAATGGGTACTGAAGTTCAAATTCAAAACACTGATGACAGCTGTTTTGTTTTTAACCTACCTCCAATATTAATCCTAGTTTTACCACTTTTCTGGTCGTGGAGCTTATTTGAAAAATGCAGAGGTGATTTAGGTCAGGTAGAATTGGTTACATCTGAACCAGTTTGCTTGCCTGCTTTCATTGCCTGGCAAAGCGAGGGGTGCAAAACGACCGTGTGGGGGCCACATTCTGTAACCATTCTGCACCGGAATCGAAACTAAGAAGGAGGATATACTTGCTACTGCCTTGTGGTCACTTCAAACAAAGTGTGTTTCCTTAATGTCTTATGATATAATACAAAAATGACTTTTCTCTTGAAATTCATTTGCTGTGATATCAAACTTCCACAAATTGCTTAACTAATTCAGTGTTAATGGCACCCTGGGTGTACCTGGTGGTTGGCCCTGCATGTCTCCTGGTGGCTGGGACTTGCTGCGTGAGGAACGATGTGGGTCTCCTTGTCTTGAGGAACGCTGACCATGGTGGTGCCCAGATGGATCCCGGGAGTATTCAGAAGAGTGGTAAGCTCCAGACCTAGACTCTCCTCGCCTTCCTGTGGATGAAGAGCGTCCTGAAGGGTCATGGCGCATTGATGGGTCTTTGGGGTGCCCCTTAGTCGACCTTGAGGACCTTGGCTCATCTGAATGACGTGATGAGGAAGTATGTCGGCCAGTGCTTCCATGATGTCGGTGGTCACGGGATTGTCGCCCTCCATGGCCGTATTCATCCTGGGGCCAAAGGTCCTCCTCAGGAGGCTCATCATAATCATGGTAAGTATGTTTGACACCATGCCGGCTCCTCCCAGTTGAATGACTGCTGCCGTAGTGACGAGAACTGGAGCGTGGCTTCTCAAACCAGTCAGTTTCTTCTTGACCCAGATGGTAGGCTTTGGAAACCGAAAGCAGATCACAGTCAATCTCCATGTCGTTTGGAGACAGCGGCATGCAGGCTGAGAGAAGGAAGGAGACAGGAAGAAGACCACCAACATGCAAAAGAAAAGAATAGGAGGGAGAAGACAGAAAGAAAGGCAGAAAATAAAATTTGTACATCCATGCAAAATACACTTCACATCACTTACACACATTACAAGCTAACAAGCTAATATAAACAGGATAAAACACACTGCAAAACTGTCACTTTTGGCAGCATTTTTCTTCTTGGTCATGAGTTTTAACTTAAATTTTGAAGCTTTAATATCATGGGAAAAAGTGCATCTGCACAAGATAAATCACTGCTGTGCATAACGTTTTAATATCTTCTTCTTTTCATGATGTAGATAAAAGCCATTTGTTTTTGCAATTGAGAATATATTATAATTTTTTTAGCTAAGATTTAGAAACAGAACTGATTGTGAGGAACAGTCTTGCAGTGTAAACTAAAAATTAATGAACCAGAATGCATGTAAACAAAACCTCAAACCATAGATATAATTAAAGATCAAATCCTGTTAAGAAAAAAATGCTTCTGTGTCGTGCAAAGAAGACCTTTCAAGTGAATCAGAGTGTAGCGAACGAAGAAAACGACCACGCCGAAGAACCATGCGAATATTGGACAGACAGACGACTGGACGGACAGGCGGAAGGACGAACAGGCAGGCAGACAGACAGACAGCAGTCCACTGATAAGAGAACTCCAATAGACTCTCAGGAAGAAGAAAACATCAGCATGCAACAACTATCATTTTTCTCATTCTTATTCTCGTCTAAGCCTAGCCTCCGGGTGGGTGGGGGACTTTGAGATAAACGGTGGGGGCAGTAGTAGGTAGTTAGACTGTGTGGGTATTCAGCCCCCACAATTACCTTCACTGTCTGACACAGCGCAATGATAATCGTCTATAATGTATGTATCTTCCGATTTGTAGACATGGGTCCGGGGAAGGTCCCGTATGTGGTCTTGCACATCTGGTAGCGAGTGGCTGGAACCATATTGGCCAATATAGTATTGATATCTACTGCTTCGACTGTCATATGGGTCAGGACCTAAGCTTGATGATCGCCCAGAACCCATAAACCTCCCCAGAGGACTGAGCGGGCTCTCCTCTTCAGAGAACTGACGGGTTGGGTGGCGCCCTCGGCTATAGCCAGATCGATAGGAGCGATCATCCCTCTCGTAAGATCTGCTGCGATACCCAGAATAGTCCCTGGATGAGATCTTGTCCATGCCATAGCCAGTGGAACGAGAGCGGCCGGTGGAAGTATAATAAATCCGATCGTCGTCCTCAATCATTGAACCGTAGTATCGACTACCATGACTGGTGCCACTGCCATTTTCGTAAGCAGTCCTCTTAAAGCCGTAATCCTCTATCAGCTTGCGCCCTCGGATGTTAGCAGACGGGTATGTCCCACCTGCTGCTGAGGAGTAGGAGGCCAGGTCTGACTCCACATCCCGAGCCTCCTCAATGGGGGAAAACTTAGAGATTTTTTGCTCCATGCTCCCCAGTTTTCTGTGCTTGCTGCGCTTGGAGGACATGACAGCAGGAGCCAGGAGGCTTCTAGAAGATGACGAAGGTTTCTGTACCCCTGAGCGGATGCTGCCATGTTTGTAGTCGTAGTCATAGTAATAGGGGGATCCCCCACCCATGCTAGAGCTCACGCTGCTGCTGCTGCCCCCTAGAGGTCCGTGCCTGTAGCTGCTCTTACCCCTGCCATGGTGGTCGTACAGATCTTCCTGCAACGCTGCTTCTTCTTCAGGTGCCCTGCCATAAGAGGAGGTGCCAGTTCCCCCACGTGTGGTGCTGCCAATGGTGCTGCTGTGGCCATGGATGTCTCCTGGATAGCGCCCGCTGCCACCATGATGCATCATGTCCCCTGTCATCGTGCCCAGCCCGTCTTTTGCCGTAAGCTCACTGACATCATCAATCATCATGTAGTTCCTTGGAATGTTTTGCTCTAAGCCAGGAGCCCCATACATCCCATCTGCAGTGCTGTATGTTGAGGGACTGTCTACAGAGTGCCCATAGGCATTGGAAACTGTAGAAGTGTACTGTCCATAAGAGCTTGCTGTGGTGGTAGTGTAGCCATAAGTATTAGCAGTGGTTGTGGTGTACTGGCCATAAGAATTAGCTGAGGTTGAAGTATATTGACCATAAGTGCTTGGTGGTATGGTAGAGTACCCACCATAGCTGCTGGACACTGGTGCTGAGCTATATGGCCCATAGGAGCTGGCCATAGTTGTTGATCCAGTGTACTGACCATAAGAAGGGGCACTACTGGAATAGGTAGCATCCTGGGCAGTTGTAGTGACCACAACTGTTGGGTTACTGATCGTCTCATAGTTGGTGGGCATCTTGTGCTCCAGGTCAGCTAGGGAAGTCTGTCTTGGTCTTCCTGGATGGACTGTCAGTATGTCAGCTTGGGGCTGCCCAGGGTATGGGGTGGTCTGGCTTGGGTAGGAGGACACAGCGCTTGGATAGGGTGAGCTGTGGGTGGGGTATGGGGGGCTGACCAGGTGGTGCAGGCCCAAAACCTGTATGACCTGGCTGGGGCTGAGGTGCAGCTGGTATCCCAAGGTCTGTCTGGGGGTATGGGGGTTGAGATTGGGGGTAGGTGTGGGAAGGGTAGGGGGACTGAGACTGGTAAGAAGGTCCTGGAGGGGGGGCATGACTCTGGAGGGGGGTGGGCTGTGGCAGTGCTTGGGATTGAGACACTGTTGGATATGGTGGTTGGTTAAATGTTGAAGACTGGTACGGCAGACTTGATTGCTGAGTTGGTGCTGCCGGTTGGCTTTGGGGGTACTGACATGAGAGGAAGGAAGAGGTTGGTGGGTACTGGGCTGCCGTGTTAAGATCGCTGGTGAACTGGCTAAGAGGGGGCAGTGCTTGGCCTTGTTGACAGTAGGCCATTGGTCTCATGGGAAGCAGCTGCCGCTGCTAAACGTAAGTTATTCAACTCACTATCAGACATGTAGTCCCTAGTGTCCCCCATACACCTCAAGTAGGCAATATCCCTCCTCTCCCTCTCCTTGACCAGTGTCTCTTTCCTTTGATGGATTCCCAGCTCTAAGTATCTCAGTTTAGCATCAATCTCTTTCTCTTCCTCCTCGAGTTCAGCTTGTTGCTTTCTCAGCTTGGTTGACTCTTGCTCCACGGCCTTCAGCTCATGGGTAAGGTCTTTGAGGAGGCTGGCTTTTGCAGCTAGGCCAGACCTGGAGCTGGGCTTGAGGCTGGGCACGGAGGGCAGGTAGACCTGTTGAAGGGTAGGTGTCATCATGGGCAGATGAGCTGCTGTGGTAGTCTCGTCCGGAGGAGGGCTGGGCAGGGTTCTCTTGACCTTACGGAGCAGTGAGCTCTGCTGTAGAGCTGCCAGCTGGAGAGAGATAGAGAGGGAGGGAGAATATGGAAAGGCAGAGACCCATGGCAAAAAAGGGATCGAAAAGGGTAAAAGATGTGGAGAGTGACCATTGGAACAAATGATATGGACAGAATGGAAGGCATTTGTGGAAATCAAATGCAAATTTGAGATAGACAAGGATATGACGGCAAGAGACAATAGGACATTTACAAAGACAAAATGTTTAAAGAAGACGAAGAATGAAAAGCAAAACATTTTAACAAAAATTAAAAACAGAGACGAAAAAGTGAAAATCAGTGTAGAGGCCAGTGAACAGGAAAGGAGAGTTGCATGAAACAGGTAAAAGATATAATATAATGGAAATAAATAAAAATGGGATTTACAGGAATAGAAATTAATAGAGAGGTGTTAGATGTATAATTACAATGTTATCAAGATAAATAAGTTGAAGAATGTAAAATGACAGATGATTATGACAACAGTTGAACAGGACAACAGGCAGAGGAGGGAGAAAAACTCAAATTGAGGAAAAGGTTAACAAACATAAGAGGTATGGAGAGGTCGAACAAAAGGGATTTACAAGGGAGACAAAGGAAACACATATAGACACATAGACAAGGACAACAGGAAACAAGAATGGAGCTTGTGTTAGAGGACATGGAAAAACATTTTACATAAGTTATAATTCTGTTGCATTATTCTATTTATCAATCTACTGCATATAAAGCCCAGTCCAGGCAAAACAATGTGGAAAGATAAAATCTAGAAAAGTAGCTGCCATTTGAACTGGGTTTACTCGGTTTAACTTGTGCAAGCAAATGATGCAACTCAGCTTGTCAAATGTCTTGGGGATTATTTTATGCATATGGTATGTCTCCTTTTTCAACAGCCAATAAGCTCACCGTGAAGTCCTCTGGTAAAGTCAGATGCAAAGGCTGTATTGAAAACTGATTAATAGGTTCCGAAATCCTAGTTTGCAAATATATATATGCCAGAAATGCCTGAATGTGTACAAGATTGGCAAGATTTTTGAAGACTCACACTGGTCATACTAAACTGTCTGATAACGCAATGCGGCTCTCAGACTATCCAATGGCAGAGCTTGCCAGCCAGAAAAATCTGCAAATACATGCACATCACTTATTCAGGTGCTGGGTCTTAAAAAAAAACCACTTGACATGATGCACAAAGACTAACAACACTATGGCTCCCAAAGATATACTTATCTTATTTATTTTCTATATGCATTAAACAACACAACGTTTGTCTGCCTTTGTGTGTCTTTGTGCATCATATCTAGAGCTTGCCAGCCAGCACAACAGTAAAAGTAACTTGCAGTACGTTTTATATGTGGTCAAATAATATTAAAATAGCTACATAGCTGTATAAGTAATAAACATATTTATATTGTTATTGAATTCTATAAATGGCTGGATGGTTGAGCTACCGTAGAAAAATCTTAATCAACGAAGCTAGGACTGGTAATTCATGTTTGATGCAGTCCTGTTTCCCACATTTTGGTATGTTGCTAAGGGCATATTAATGGTCAGATAAGTGGGCAGTATGCAGTGTATACTGTTTGAGTATGTGCAGTACCTTAGTAGCTATGTGGTATTAGACACAGCCAAAGTATCAGCGTTTCAAAATGGCAGTGTTTTGGAAAGAAATAATAAACTCATCAAGTTATTTGTGGAACAGCTGTGTCTGACAAAAAACTTTGAGTTAAAAAGGGTCAGAGAATCACAAAGACCAAACTTTAACTCTAGCATCTCCTCACAACCCTGCATGAAAGTGACACATTTGTTGTAGACCTGAAGAGTACAAGCAAGTTGATTGTCTTGTTTTGAACCAGCCTTCGTGCAGACATCTTTAATCATTTTGAAATTCCTCATTTGAGAAGTTGCTTTAAATATTTTTGACACGGTCCTGATCAATTGCATTCAAAAGACTTTGTTGACTTCAATCTATTAATTACATGGTCTGAGAAGGTGGGTGTAGGGCCACTTGGAACTGAACACTGGTGCATCAACATTGTGATATGACTGAGTAATGGAATAGAATAATCGCAATATGTGGCATTTGTATAAAGCAATCTGATGACTTGTATTATTTGCTCTCTTCAGCTATTGATTGAAAGGTTGGAAGCATGATTTATTTACCCTCCCGTAGACCTCATTTGGCAAAGGATGTTAACAACAACTTTTTTTAATCAAAATTATGCAGAGAATAATTTGTGACCCAGAACTTGGTTAAATTGTAAAGCATGCCATAGAGGTAGTTCTTTATTTCATTGTTCATAAATTGTGTGAATTGTTTTCTTCATCCTAACATTCATATATTTACTTTTTTTTATCAATATTGATGAGGTAAGGTGGACTATGGAAATGGAAATGAATCAAAATCAGTTTGAGTCATTTCAGAGCCATGTTCAAAGAAGCTAACACTTTTCATTAGATCTTACCCCAATCAGCCGGCACTTGGCAATTTGAATGGTACAACAGCCAGTGATGTGATAACTCCTAAATAGTTGGACAATAAATCCAATGCACTATTTCTCCCTCAGTTCCTACTCTGTCCACTTTACTCTCAAGTAAAGGTAAAGAAAAGTTGCAAATGAAGAAAAAAGGTTTTTGACCGACCCCACTATTCCTCAAAACATATTTTGCAGCTCTGACATTTGTTTCATTCAGGACCTAAAAAGTCTGGAACCACATGTCTTAGGAAGTAAAGCTTTTTGATGATTAACAAATACATTTTTAATACATACTTTTGTATACATTCATATGTTTTATTTTACTCTGTTTCCCCCTGATAACTATTACATTTGAGTTGTTTTCTCTGAATCTTGTCTTGATTATCTCATTATCTCAGGATTACAACACTGTTCTGTGATAAAGAGTTACTGTAGTTTTCGAGATCTCAAGAAACTGACATAAATGTAAGTTGTTATCGCTGAGCCAGACAAACAGTTTTGTTATCCCAAGATAATGAGATGAATAAGTTGTGGTCTTATTCATCAACAAAACAACCAACATGTACAAGTTATCTCAGAAAACAGAGTTGTTTCAGAGTTGTTTACATCCAAACAACATTTTTTTGGCTGTATGGTTGTTCGGGCTTCTGCAAAAAAGTTTCCTTATCTAAATTTTAATCCATTTGTTTTTTCTTGTTTTAACTTTTTTAACAATTCGGATTTATCGATTCCATTCTGGTAAAGTTAAAGTTTTCTGTCACTTAAAAGTTCCCCAATGGCAAGATTTTAAATAATTTCTGTTTCCTGCAGCTATAAAAGTAAACTTCTTCAATTATTAAACATTATCAAATATATTAATATTGAGAGTACTTTATCTATCATTTAACCCCCTTAAATAAGCCTAGACCGTAGAGGTTTCATTTTAAGATGTTTGGCTCCCAAGTATTAAAATTGACTTAGTTGTTGGTCAGCTGTTTGCAGATTCCTGCTCTAGAGGGTTTTGAAATAGAGGCCTCCAATAGTTTTTAAACAACAGTTTATTCCCCCTTTTTGGGGGGATTTTTTTGGCAGCTGTTTTCTAAAAATAGGTGTCACTTGATTCAAATATTGGAAATGGGGAGAATTATTAAGGTCTCCACACACTACGAATATTGGAAACAAAAAATTGTGATATCTGAAAAAATCCACAGCACAATGAGTTAGTCGTCAGAACATTCAATTAAAGCATTAATGTTACTCACATAAAATAAATTAGGTGTTAAAAGAAACAAAAGGAACAGTTTTAATTGAAGGAATAGATTCCAAAGATGCCATTCAGTATTTAGGCCTTGTTGTTTATAACTCCATTGAACAACATAAAAGGGATTTACCATTAACTAGAAAATATACATTGCAAGTTTCGCTTGGGCCTTGTATAAGATTTTAAAGCCACAGGGCTTTCTTATTTGATCATGAAATGTACATCAGTGATTTTGAACAATATTTGAAAGCATGGATTATTACAGGAGGCCCTGAATACAGGTGGTGGTTGTGTAGATATGGCAGTTTACTCTTCTTTATGTTAGCCTGATTACTGATTTTATTTTGAAATCTATAATAATGTCAGTTTATCATGGACATACTAGATAGGCAGGGATTTAGGTTTTTTATTGAACTTGTTTAATTTTTTATCAAATCAAGGACATGATACATATTGCTTATAAATACATAGCAGATAAAGCTAAAAAGCTTTGCCTTAGAGGACAACATGTAGAATACTGCCTTTAAAATATGCTTTTGTTTGAGCAAACTGTTTCCAGGCTGTGTCCTGAATTGATTTCTATTGCTTTATTCTCTATAATTCTACATTGATCTTTCAATGCGTGCACCAGCATAGTTTGAGTGACTTTACCTGGCTCTGGAGCGCTTGTTGTTGATAGAGGTTAAGCCTGGCCTTTGTGTGTTCGTCCATGGTGGGGCTGAGGGGCTTGGGGTCCGACATGGACCTTTGAGTGGTCTTAATGGGTCGTGGCACAGAGGGGTGTCGCTGGGGGGACTCAGCTGTATAGGACTTCTGCTGAGGTGTGACATGGGCCTTGTTCAGCCTCTCACTAGACAGAGAATTCTCCAACAGGCGATGAGGGGACACCGGAGAGACAGGGGAGTAGAGGACTTGTGGAGATTTTGGGGTAGACTGCTGCTGCCGGATGATGCTGGAAATGGACTCGTTGTGGAGGTGGTTGTGAGGCTGGTAGTTAATGTCGAGCGGGTCAGGACGGCGGCGCTCAAACTTGGCTGCATTGGCTGCAATGTGCTGCTGCTGGCGCTGCTGGTTCAGAAGGTCAGCTGAACCAGGTTGTTGTGTTCCACTACTGGTAGAGGAAGAGTATGGACTGACCGTGGTTGGTATACTCAGCTGGGGAGCTACAATTACCTGCGACTGGGCTTCAGGGTCAGTCTGGCATGCTAGAGACTGACCTTTATGGGTCCGTTCAGGACCAGAGATGTAGTGCACAATCTCTACTTTGTTTGGGTCTGGTAAAGTCACATGGATTGCTGGGGAGACTCTTCCTAGGTGCTCCACTTCTGTCTGGCAAGACATTTCCCTGATGGTCTGGACGGCAATACTTGAGGATACCATCTTGGAAGTGTCAGTTTTGGTATCAGTAGCTCCAGTAGTGGTGGCCGCAGTGCTACCACTAGCAGAATTGGACTCAGAGTGACGTGAGAAACGAGAACGTCTACGGCGGACTGGCTGTCCTGTTTCAGCCTTGTCCTCGTCATCATCTGTCTGGACAGAGCAGTCAACACTGCGACCACGCCTTCTGGTGCGATGACGCATCATGTACCTGGGATGAAGAAGAGAAGAGAGGAAGAAATTATTAAAGAACCAAACATATAACATTAAAACATTTTTGTTACTGCCAGTATTAAAATAATTAACAGCACTCTGCATTTACACTTACCTTATCCCACACCCACTAACACACACCTCTATGAATCAGTTTTCCCAGTCATTCCACCCAACCAACCAGCCAACAAACCAATGCACACACATCTTTACCTCTCCTCGCCATCTTCATCATCTGTCTGCACACAGCTGTCCACAATCCTACGTGGAGAGCTGTAAAACACCACACCATCTCCGTCCAAGCTGTCCCTACTGAGCCTGGTCATGGAGCTGTGTTTCCTCATGTTGCTTCTGGTCTCCACATGCTCCTCCTGGCTCCTCAGACAAATCTCTGACGAGGAGTTAGGAAGGGAACGAGAGCTTATCTGGGAGTCGGTGTAGGGATGCATGGGCTGTCCGTTCATATCCAGCTGGAGAAAAGAGGATTGTTTCAAGGTTGATATTTGTTGATAGTTTTACCCCCTCATCAAAAAGCTTATATATATATATATATTTAGAAAGCATATCAGAATAATTGTCTGCACTTAACTATGAACTATTTATTTAACACATGCCAAATGTTCTTTGCAAGCCCAGTTAAAGAGTTGCAAGAGTAAGTATTGGTGGCTTGACGAAACCTTTAAGATCACTTGTGCTTTAGAAAATATATTGAATAAAAGGGTGTGGCAGTACACAACTACAAGTCTGAAAGTATGGCAGGCCTGTGATGGAATCATGCCAGGGGGCTTATGTCATGAGGGCAAAAAATACAAGTTTTTTTTTTTTTTACTCTGCTTGTGCTCTAAAATCTTCTGCAACCAGAAGCCATTATGCCCAAGAACTGAAGCCTTCAATATCAATGCCATTGTGTATCATTAAGAGCAATCTGACAGTGGTCCTTGCCCCACTCACCTGTACTGCAGCTGTTTTCTGCCTCTTCTGCTCAACAAGCTGCTGCTGGAGCTGATGCTGTAATGATTGGATTTGGTCTAGCTGTGACTTCTGCTGGGCCAGCTGCTCCCTTTGAAGGACAAGTTGTTTCTCACGCTCATTTTGCTGTTGCTGTAGAACCTAAAAATGGATGGTGGAAAAGGGAAAACAAAAAGGCACGACCAAGAATGAGAGAAAAAAAGGAAGGAGAAGCAGTACACAAGAGATAGTTGAGAGTGGACAGAATGAAAGGAGAAGTAATGAGCAAATATAAAGAAATATAAATGATGGGAGAAAAGACAAGATTATTCAAAATTAGAGGACTATGATTTGGCCTTTTGTACATCCAGTTATATAAAATATAGCCAATTTTGCAAATGCAAATCATCAAATCAAAAGGATCCAGATAATAATAGTTGTGAAATGAGGTCATTCATCTGCTAATGAATTAGTTTTGAAAATGGTTCCAAGTTAGTCAAACTTTTATATATTGCAAAAAAACAAAAATGGAAGCGCAACATAAATAATGTGCAGCATCTTCTACTTATTGTTGTCAGCCATACAATGCTTATAAGAAAATATTTAATGAATTTTCTTTTTCACATAAATGACAGGCTGGTATAATTAAGGAGTTAGGTTGTTTTTTTTAAACTCATATTGCAGGTCATGAGATGCATATTAAGCATTCCATTTCTAGTTCATTCTCAATAGGAAAGGCTTCCACACCTGCTTTACAGAGTTTACTTGAAAGATTTTCAACTGCTTGTTCTACCAAAAAAGAAGAAAATTGTCATGTTAGCCCTTTTGTAAACTGCTTCACAAGGCAATTATGAGCTGAGACAATCATACAATTGTGTGAACTTGCTATTGCTAATTTAATGTTTACAACATCAAGGGATCCATTTTTCTTTAGCAAATGAATCAGATCAACATATGAAAACACTTTCTATCTTTCTTATTACTTAAAATCAGACCAACCAATAGAACATGAAACCACTTCACAAATAAATCTTAGCATCATCAATTTCTATCACACATACATACTACAGGCATGTTCATGCAGACTTAAATTACAGAAAATGTCCGGGAAAGTATATAACACAACAGGCAAGGAAAAGTATTATTTTCATGAAACAAACTGGATTAAAACATTTATTTTAAAGTTATGAAACCACTAACTCTAAGAAATTGTAAAACAAAAGAATATTGATTTATCTTGCTTGCAAAAAATCTTGAGTAAAATGACTGCATTTTGAAATATTATTCCCTTTACGTTTGTAGACATGCATAAAAAGACATGCGTATACTGTAAAAATAATTTGTTGTATTTGTTGGTTCATTTTTGGAGTTAAGTACTTTGCACATCAAAGACATGACATTAAAAGAATAAAAACATTTAAAATTATAAAGACAATAATAACTTAATGACGTATACCACAAGTAAGCACACCACAAAAACTACAAACCAAAACACACAAACCAAGACCCTGTTCCTCCCTCTACCTGTTCCTTGATGCTCTGCAGCTCCTGTAACTCTCTTTGCACCAGTATCTGCTCCTTCTCTCTGTGCATCTTCAGCTCTATCCTTTCCCGTTCAAGCTCCTCCTGCAGTCGCATTTGCCGAAGTTTCTCCAGCTCCACACGCTCCCTCTCCATCTGCAGGAGCTGCTCCTGCTGACGATGAAGCCTCTCTGCTTCTGTTTCACCCTCCTTGTGTATGGCACCTGGTGGAGGGAAGGGAGGAAGTCCTCCTGGAATGGGTAGGCCACCCGTGGGGGCAGATGGGCCTGCTGGAGGCTGAGTGTATCCATGAGTGTGTGATGGTGCTAAGGGTGGATAGCTATGACCTGCTGGAGGAGGCTGTTGAGACTGCTGGGAATTTGTCATTTGCTGTTGTTGTTGACTGTTCAGGTGTGCCTGGGACAGATTTATTGGCTGTTGTTGTGGCTCCATTGGGATTAAGACTGTTCCTTGTACTGAGGTATTTGCTGATGATGACGTCATTGTGGCACCTTTTCCAAGGTATACTGGTTCTTCCTGGACTGTAGAGCTACTTGTCATGGACACAGATACTGGGGCACCCATTGGTGAAAAGGTTGTTGTAGCAGCAGCAGCAGTAAGTGCAGTTGTTGATGTTGTTTGAAGCAGACCTGGTGCTGGGTAAGAGACTGGAGCTTGTCCAGATAAGGGCATTCTGGGACTCATTGGTAGTCTGCTAAGACTAGATAGGGGCACAGGTGTCATGTTAGGAGAGGGGTATGGCCTGTAGACCCCCCTTAATAGGGGGCGAAGAACAGAGGCAGGCTGAGTTGTGATGGGAAGTGTAGAAGCTATGGGGGTCTGAATAGTAGAGTAGATCATCCCGTCAGAAGATCTAATTGCAGCCGGGTACATAGCTCTTAGACTAGCCTGCCTAGCATTGATGAGGTTGGTTAGTGCTTGATTGTGGGAGATTGGCTTCCCATCGAGTCCAAAAAGAAGGTTTTGTCTCATGCCAAGACCTACTGCAAGTCTTGCAGTCCCAGGCCCAGTTCCTCTCCCCAGACTACCAAACTGCATCAAATCTGGGTTGCTTCCATACCGATCAATAGAATTGAGTGCTGCACACATTCTGCTAATCTCCCTGGCGGTTGTAGCACTGTACTGAGCCAAGTTAGCTTCTTGGAAACCTGCAATATCTCGAGCAGAGTAGCCATAGTCTGAACTGATGTTAGACAAGGAATTATATCTCCTTATGGGCAGTGTTTGGGCTGTGATGTCTCCTCCATGCCGTAAATCTGTATAGGAACCATACTGCATCCCCATGAACCCTCCATAGCCCTGCTTCATACCAGTTAGATCCATAGTGAGTTCTCCTGAGGCTTGAAACTGTGGCTCTAGTTTAGAAGGGTAGGACTGCAGACCCACCTCAGCCAGGTTTGTATCTGACATTGAAGACTGCAACCTACCAGGGAAAGGTAATGTGTAGGCCTTACGTCCATCCATTTGATACTCGTGGTCAGATTCATAGGTGAGGGGTGGGGCAGATGGAGGCCTAATGCCCTCTTTCTCTGAACCACCGACACAGCTTCCGCCAAATGGAAGTCGGTAAACAACATCACAGCAAGCTGGCTGGTTGTCAGGTTTAATTTGACCTCCTGTCAAATCCATAGCATCTTGTCCTTCTTCTACTTTCATGAGCTGTGTCACTGTTCTCAACTGGTCTGGCGCTCCATCCATCTGTACAACCATGCTATGTGGTGGATTGCCTCCAGACATTAAACCAGGAGGGCTGGGCTTTCCTTTCAGCTCAATTGGACCAGTGCCATACATCTCAGGATTAATGATAGGTGATACAGCACTTACCACAGCTGAGGCAGTGCTTGTCTGGCTGACTAGTAAGTCTTTTTTCAGTAAAGGTGGGATCTGGCCAGTAAGACTGTACCTAGCCAAAGCAGATGCCTGTTGCTGGTGATGTTGCATCTGATGGTGCTGCTGCAACTGCTGTTCAAGGAGTTCTTGTTGCTTTTGCAGCTTCTCTTGTTGTTTTTGTAGTTCTCTCTGCTGGACACTGAGGTCCTCTAGTTTGGCATCAATTTTTGGTATTGATGGGTCAGTTGAAGGTGGTTTGTTCTGGGAAAGACAAACAGCAGAGCCAATGCCCTGACCTAGATCCACTCTGTTTTGATTCGGATCACCATAGACCATTGGCTGTTTGTGCTGGGTCATGAACATGGAAGCAGCCACAGTGACACTCACAGTGGTTGGTGTGGTGGTCTCCTGCGTGTTTAGGTTCATTATCAGTGGTTGTACAATTGTTGAGTGTCTGCTTCCCTCTGCCCCACCATGATATTTTCTGCTTTCAGTGGCCAAAGACGTGAGATCCATTCCTTGGTCAGTCATGATAATAGGAGCCATTTTGGTGACTGTTCTGAGGTCTACAACACTTCCACCTTGGATCATATGTCCCTGTTCTACCCTAGAGGTGCCAGGAACCGTAGATATTCGACACAGGGAGATGTTATCCATTGATAATGACCCCCTGGTGTAAGTACTTGCTGTGGTGACCATACTTGTACCAACATTGACCCTCTCAACTCTTTGTGTTCTATAGAAGCTTTGTGTTGGAGATTGTTGATAAGGTGGTGTGTCTGGAGGGCTGCCACATGGGGAATAAGTTTCAAATGTAGACTGGCGACTAAATCTGGTAGGCGAAGACAGGGGAGAAGTAGCAGTGTTGACTGTCATTGGCCTTGCAGGACTTTGAGGAGGTGAGTATGGGGCATCCTGGGAAGACTGCTGTCGATAGAGTCTAGGAGAGGCTGATCGATGTGATGTTTGGGTTCCCTGAGCCATCACTGGAGATGTAGGGCCAGAACCAGCTCCAGACTCCATTCGTAGTGCTGAATTAAAAGTCTGTGTAGAGAACTCTGCTGTAGCCCTTCTAGAAGGTGAACGGGTTGGACTCTGTGGAGGTGGTGATGGAGAAAGAGGAGGACTGGTGCTCCTATAATAAGTAGTATACTTGGGAGAACGTGGCTCAACAACTCGCTCAGTAGAAGATGTTGAACTGTCTCGCACTTGGACACCCCTGGTCTCCCCAACCCGTCTAGTAATCACTTCTCTTTGACTGTATGCTTGGGTAATCTCTGCAATCTTGCTGCATACACTTGAGACTGTAGCAGAGGATGTGGCAGTACTTCCTGATTGTCTGCCATAAGTACCAGACTGAGTTGTTGTCATGGTGTGGCTTGAACTAGTCTGAGAAATAGTCACTGCATCTCTTGCATACACTCCATAAGCTGCAATAGTTGTGGCAGCAACTGCTGGAGTTATTCCGTTCTTTCCTGCTTGGCTTTTGATCCTGTCTTTGTGCCCATCCTTTGCAGAGAAGTGTTGCGTCACCCTGACATCAGGAATCCGACTTCCAGTCTCAGCAAAAGAGACAGGAGCTGAGATCTGGGTTGGGCTCGTCCCTGGAGTTAGGAGCGCATTGCTTTGTTCTAGTAGCTTAGCAAATGCTGAGCCTGTGTCTAAAAGCTGTTTGTCTGGGAAGGAGCTCTCAATGTCAATCTCTACTTGTTCATCGGTGGCTTGCTGCATTTTGGTGATATTCTGAGATGTTTGGCGGATCTCCTCATAAATATCTGTTTCTGTCTCTGCTGCCTCATTGTCATATTCTGTTTGATCTTCATATTCATACTCCTCATCATAACCTTGACCATTAACATCCTCCTCGTAGTACTGCCCATGTCTTCCATGTTGCTGCTGTTGCTGCTGTTGTTTTTGTTGCTTTTGAAGCATCTCTGCTTTCCTCATCATTTCCTCATAAACCTCCTCAGCACTCTTAAGCGGTTTGGAAGTTGAAGATGGTGCTGTGGTTGTGGTCGTTGTTGAAGATTTCTCTACTGGTGAGTAAAGAGACATAAAGGTCGGGAGGTTATACTCGCTACCTGACTTGTAAAGTTTGGACTCGTATCCTTCAGCCTCTGAGTCCAGACTCTGAGGGGAATATTCAGAAGCAGAAGACCGATGGAGCTCTTCCATTTCTGCAGCTTGTCTAAGTTCTTCTGTTGGAGAAGCATCTTCAATAGGTGAGAGATTGCTAGGTGGTGTTTTTGACCTCTCTCTGCGCCTCTGAGCCCTGAGCTCCTCCTTATCCCTCTTGGTTTTTCGTGCTGTGCTCCTTATTCTTTGCTGTTCAACCTCCCTCATCTTCTCCTGCTCTCTCAGGAGTTCCTCTTCCTCCCTCAGCTCATCTTCTTCTGAAGAGTCTTCGATTGTGGGAAGGAGAGGACCATGGGAGCGATGACGGGCTTTTCGCTGTTGCTTGGCCTCTTCCAACCTTTGCCTCCTACTAGGACTGCTGTCACTGTCCTCCTCCATTGATGAGATGGAAGTAGGAGACTGGCCTGAGCCATATGAGGATGAAGTTGCTGGCAGAGTGGAGGAGTAGTCCCCACGTGAACGTTCTTCTGGAGAGCCTGTCAGACTCTCCATCTCTAGCTCTGGTTCCCGATCAAGACTCAAGTCATTTTCATTGCTCAAGTCCATGTCTCTGCTGTAGCTATTGGTATTATTAAGTTCAATGGTTTTGAAGCGCCTCAGGCCTCCCTGGGATGCCATGACATCTTCCTCACCCTCCTCTACTGAACCTTTATAAACATCAGTAGAGCTCTTAGTTTCCTCCTCAAAACTGCTGGAGTGGTGCTGAAGACGTCGCTTTTCTTTCCCTGAGTCAGATATGTGCTTATGGTGGCTTTTCTTGGATTTCTGGTAGCCATAACCTTCATCTTCCTCATCATCCTCTTCCTCCATCTCTTCCTCCTCCTCATTTTCTTCATCAGCACTCATCTCCATTATTTGTCTCCTCATAAACTCCTCATCCGTCATCTCTGTGGGCTCAGCCTCTTTTTCCTTCTTTTTCTTTTCTTTCTTCTCCTCCTTCCCTTGCTTACGTTTGCTCTCCCAGTCTCCCCCATCCTCCTCTTCCTCTACTATATCTTCTAGGTCCTCGTCAGAGTCGTAATCATCAGGTGGGATTGACAGGGAGCGTGGACGCTTTCCTCTGTCATCCAAGTCTCTGTCTCTGTGCTTCCGTCCCCTTCTTTCCACCTTGTCTTCAGAAAGACTCTTCTCTAGCAAAGGCCTCATAGAGCTTTCTAACTTGGTGATCTCAGAAGGGCTAGGTGGTGAGCCCCGTCCACAGATTCCCCTCTCACTTAGCTTCATCTCCTCTTCTTGGATAAGACCTGTTATTTCACTGTGGGAGCTAGAGATGCCATCAGAGGAATATCCAGTGTCACTGAGGCTCTGGGGGCTACGTGACAAGTCATGGGTACTGTTGTTTTTAGTGTCCTAAAAAGAGAAAGAAAGAGCATGTATTAGATTTGGGTCAACATGTGATTTTTAATTTTTTTAAATTCATTTTTAAGGTAAAATGGTTGAATGATTTGATGCTTAATTAGCAATATGCATTCAGTTTAAAGTAACATAATCTTCAAGCAAATTTCTTTGTGTTGTGATGAAAAAGTTTGAGATCAAAAAGATTTAAAAAATATGCATGTAGAGTAGTCATGTCACATTCAGTACCAAGATTTATTAATTTAAAAATGATTGCATTATGGCATTAAGCCACATTGGCTCTCAGTAAATGCTGTCTAAAATGCTAGTGGATGATACTATTTGTAAAGATTCTAAATTATATGCATCATTTGTAAAAATTGACCACTGCGACCTTGTAACCTAGCAAATTATTTCTAAGCCGCAACCTTCAGAGCTAAGATTGAGGCCTCTAAATTTACTTGAAACCAGTTTCAATATCAAGTCAATTCCAGTGTTTCCCACACACAGACAATCCCTGGGCGGGCCGCCAAAGAGTATTTCTGGCTTCCAAAGTATATTTCTGACCTGCTTTTATTTAATTTTTCATTTATTCATAAAATTCCTGCATGCACCAGAGAGCGAGAGCGTTGGAGAGAAAGAAAGAGCCTGGACCTTATGGCTCCATGCGACATAACAAAACTCCGGTTTCTCAACTACTGTGGAGAGATATGCTGCACTGAAATAATTGCCAACGTCCGAATCTCACTGCGCGCACAGATTTGTAAACTGTACCCAAGGATTTGCAAACCCGTGCAGACAGTTTACAAATTTGTGCTCACAGTTCAGGAATCCATCCCCACAGATTGCAAATCCTCTCTCGTTGACTTTATTTCTTCTTGACTGAGTTTTCGGGGGCTCTGTGCAACACAACAAAGCTCTCATTTTAAGGTGTATATCATGCCAGAGTACGCGTCAGCTGATGTCACGAAAGCCTCATCAGCTGATGACCAGCCTATTTGCTCAAAACATCCTATTGGTCAAATAGTTCTTATGCCACTTCATTTAAACTGCTCTAGCCTGCCTATTCCTCCTCCCCAGCTCCTCTTTTTATGGTATTCTGACTTAATCAATGTCATGCTTGTCATTGATGCTTGCTCTGTTTGGGTTTGCTGCTTTTCTCCCTGCCTTATAGCTTTTCTTGTATGCACGGGAAGGGCAGGAATGTGTGCTGTGCCTGCCTAATGCTTTCCAGGTAAGCACATGGAAGGGCAGGGAGATCCCAGAACAGAGCCATACCGCCAAATATAAATAACTGCGTCAAAGTATCCTTCTTGACAAAGTGGTCCTGACTGAACTGAACACAGTGCAGGAAGCTGACTAGACCCTAGTCCTATCAGATCCCAGCTGTCTCAATACATTTTCTTTATCATAACAATTAAGCTACTATGAAACATGTAGTACAGAATAAATATTTACAGCTAATATTTTTGATCATGTGATGTGTGGTTTGATTTAATCAAGAGGTCAATATAAAAAATAAAAAAAACAGTAAATGACAGGATCAAGACAAATAAGACAATTACACAGTACCATACAGTGTCTTATAGTTGTTAGGTTTGATTAAAACATTTTGAGCCATTGATGAAAAGAGGTTAGTAAAACTTTTTTTACATTTTAAGGGGGAAAACACAAAAAAATGTGTTCGTATGAGTGTAAAAAAAGATTGTGAAGTTAACATAACTGGAACACACCAAATACCCAAAACTAATTCATCAATGGCTCTGTCTTAGACCACTTATAATAACATGCCAAATCATAATCACAAAGGGACTAACCTGGTTAATGAAAGAGGGATGGAGGAAAGAATTCAAAATAGAAAGATGTTATGAAAGTCTTTTTAACGGTACATCTCACGATGGTTACAATACTTTCAGAGGAGACTTTACTTTTAGCTCTCTGCACTTTGAATTTGCAGAAGCTGCCTAAATGTAAAAAGCTCTAGCCTTTGAGGCAGGCCCAATGTAGGGAATCTTTATGAATATTTCAGTCAGAGCTATGACTGCCTTTAGAGAAACAAAAAAGAGGCATTTTAGGCTCTCTCTGTGTTTCTCTCACTCTTTGTGCCTCCCAAAATTAGTCCATGAAAGGCTTGCTGCCATTTGCAGCCTAGCAATTGGTTAGGAGGGAAACGTGGACATCCAGAACTATGGTTCACCGTTTAAGAATAAATAAGGAAACTCTTTTAAAAAATATTACCAATGTACAGTACCCAAAACTTTCAGTGATTAGATGATCGTATAACACCCATAATATTACCATATTATTATAAATCATTAGGGGCATTGTTACACATAACAACATTTTAAAAAAGAGCAAAAGTTGGTTAGGAAGCATCAACTTAAATGTATTTCATGATCAGTGACCAGTTACAAAACAAGATTACTTTTGAAGCGATTGTAGCAGGCAGCAGCAGGACAGTTTTAACATATAAATTACACAATAATGGAAAATTGGAGCCCGGGAATTCCAAAGTAATTACTTGATTAACTTTAACAAGGGAAAAAGGGTCAAGAGTTGTGTAAAGAGGTCCACATCACAAAACTGAAAGTTTGGTTTTGTTTTAACAGTTATTCAGTGTGTTGTGTGAAACAGGAATTGAAACCTAATGCCAAATCTATGAAGTCTAACTCTAGAAATGGACCTTATAGAAACCTTAAAAGTATCAATACATGAGCGAAAGACATCAAAAATACAACATCTTGGCCAGAACTACTGCATGAACTACCTCATATTCAAAACCTTAAAGGCAAACATACTGTGTTGGTAAATCTATAAGAATACAAAACAACCATTCTTCTGCTCTCTCCCAATAACCAAGGCCAGGTATACACTGTACGATCATAAAAACGTTATGTTGGAATCCCCGTCTTTATCTCACACTGTACTACTGAATCATCTACAATGCCCAATAAAAGATTGTGAATTATGTTCTCACACTGTCCTGCACAACCTGAATGCCCACACTGTATGGGTTAAATCAGGCGGAGATAGAGCATTGACAATTGCCTATAAAGTTTCCTTTGAAAACTCCCATTGAATCAAAGTCAGATCAATGTGTATTTCAGTTTTCTCTTTTTCACTGCTCAAATACAAATACCATCATCATCAAACTCACTGTCTCACAAGCACACACACTCAGCATTACCAACAAACACAAGCTAACAATCCAGCTAAATCATAGCACATAGACCCTGGCAGCTGGAGGTGTGCAGGTACTTCCTGCCAATATTTCTCTCATTCATATCTTCTGTGAGAGGAGGGCGAAGACACATCAAACAGGCATGCCCTCTGTTTAAAGGTGCTTTCAGACACTGTGCAGCAGTTTGTGCAGGGGCAATCAAGAAAAAATAGCCCTGAAGTTGGGAAATTGGAACATGGCTTTACTCACATTGTGCAAAGGTTCAGTCGCACAACCAAAATTTCAAGCATGCCAGTAAGTCATCTGACCGTTACTGAGAAGAAGATTGGGCCATGATTGGCCCCCATGTATCCCAGTACAATGCACAGCAAATTACAAGGGGTTGGGCCCAAAACTGACCAGACTTCAAAAATCAGTTTTGCAACCCAAAGATCGGGTCAGACTCGTTCTGAAATCTCACAGTATATGTATGGCCCGAGCCATAAGATTTACTGACTGCTAACCAAATCAAAGTGATACATTTGGCAATTGGGTTTAAAATTGTTTTATTTAACTCAGAATATTCACAAAAAATATCCCTGATACATCAGCTGTTCTGGACCACTGCAAAGAGAAATTGTCTATGAGAGAGTTTGTTAAATTAGGGAAGGTATAGCATAGCCAAGTCAATAAGAACCCTGAACTGTGTTCACATTAGATTACTCTTTTAACCAGCGCACTGCACAACTTCTGCTCAGATATTTATTCATGTTGTGTTTTTATAGGATTTTTATTTGGTGAGGAAAAAGAAATGTTTGGTTGTGAAGGATGACCATACTTTAATAAGCCATGCGTGCTCAGATATCTCAACATGCATACATACTCTCAAAAGGTCACACAACAATAGACATTTTTGACACATGGGCCTGTATGTTACTCTATGGTAGCCTCAGAATATTTGCTGAAAATTAGCCAAATTGTTTTGTATTTTCCATCCATAGCTTCGGCGCTTGAATTAATCACTTTTGGTTCTTTCCCATAGCTTGACATACAGAATACTCTTGAGTGAAGCAATGGAAACAAAAAGAATCAGACTTACATCATAGTGCCTGGACTTCTTAAGATCCTTGATCGGTGTGATTGGCTCTCCTTTCTTCTGGGAGGGTTTGGTCTCTTTGGCAGTTTGGATCTCAGGCTCGGTCTTGGATTTCTCCTCAGTGGGTTTCTGCTGTTTCTCTGTTGTCGTGGCTGGTGTCGTGGTCTTGGTGTCTGTTAGTTGTTTGGCAGCAGTCGGAGCAAACGGTCCACTACCGCCAGTCCCACCTTGTGGTTTCTGCGTTTGGGGCTGACCTGCCTTTGGAGTCTGCTGATTGGTGAGTTTGTGAAGAGGGCTTTGCTGACTGGTTGGCGCCTGGTGGCGAGGGGAACCCATTGGCTGGTGCTTGGGAGACGAATGAGGAACAGGAAGTGGGGGATCGTCAAGGCCACCTCCTGACATCAGCCGCTGGGTCTGGCAGTTGAGGCATAACCACTCCTTTTTCTGAAACACAGACAGGACAAATAGGACTGTTAATTACAAATAGACTGTTTTCTGAAAATGTATAGTGTCTCATTGTACTTCTCATGTTACCACACTTTCTAACTTTCCATATAAAACCTTCCATCTAGCATCGTTTATGCTTTGAAAAAGGTCTTTAAAATTTCCATTAGCACTCACTTGGTGAGTTTATTAAAACTAATAAAAACAGAACATGTTTTGTTTAATAATAAAACTCTTAAAAGGTGAACAAAAAGCTGTATCATCTAAATAATCAAAGATGATTTTAAGTATTTAACAGTAAAAACTGCAACACAGGGAAGCTCTCTGGAATGTGTGTGTGTGTGTGTGTGTGTGTGTGTGTGTGTGTGTGTGTGTGTGTGTGTGTGTGTTTGTGTGTGTCTGTGCTTGTATTAGTGTATCTCTACTCCTAAAGAAGTCTCTATTTGTCAGATGTTTTCTTATTTAACTTTTCAGGATTAATGAGATTGATGCACAAGCACACACAAACATACACACGCACTAGTACTGTATACAGGGAAATTGTATATTTCAGACAGAGCTGTCAGAGCTGCAGCAGGCTGAGCATAGCTGAAGCACTTCCTAATGGCAGTCACATTGACAGCTTCACAATTTTTCATCATATCAGCTCCACTTACTCACACACATGAGGCTGACGTTAAAAAAGACTGTGACGCACCAATACTCACACACACACACACACACACACTTGTGAAGTGTGCGCAAAATGTTCCACAGAGTACCCCATCAAGTCACATCTAACCATGTAGCGCAAATCTTGCCCTTTCTCCTCCTGTCAATAACATTCACTAAAAAACTCCATCAATCCTCATTTTGCATTCAGACTGTCTCTCTCTTTCTGTCTCCCTTCATCTCTCTTCTCCTCAGCGGGTCTGTCCTTTCAAAATCCATTTAACAATACATTACATTGTGCTGTATTTTTTTATTCTATCTTCCAGCTCTCTTTGTTTACTTTTTGCTCTTTTCCTGTCTTTAACTTCTCAATCTCTTTTGACATCTAATTACATCTCCAGTGCACACCATATTTCTTCCACCACTGAGTTTGAGTCATGACAAAACTGTGCAAATAGCTGACCACTGTGTTCAACTCCAATTCTACCCCTCAGCTAGAGAGAGGCTGTCCTATTACTCATCAATGAAGGAGACTTATTCATCCCATTTGGTCCAGAGGGAAACTGTGTCATCAGTGGGGATGGTTTAGTATATAGGCTTGTTTAAACCCAGTGACTCTGAATCTATTTGTCTTCATATATCTACTAAATGTGTCTAGACCTCATTCAAATCCAGAAACTAAAATAGCCTGCGTTTGACATTTGAACTTGAATGAATACAGGAGATGTGGTTTCATTGTAGCTTCTAATGCCTGATTAAGACAAAAGATGATAATTGTGTGTAGATGGTGAAGTATCAGATTTAAAGATTATACAACCACAAGTCATGAATCTGATATTGTTGCTGTGGTATGGTAACACGTGTAACCCTGACTAAACATCATTTGATGGAAAATTCTTGGAAAACCATAAAATTTTTTTGTCTTTTAATATTTTTTTTAACAGATCACAGAATTTGACAGATGAAGTGATTCACATCGCCATGCCCTCAATCCCTTTCAGCTCTTTTAAGGATGGTGTTACTTTTCACACATTTGCACCTGCAGTTTCTCTCTTTCTATCCTCACTACATGATGACTGCTTTCCCCCCTCCTCTTACATCGTACCCTCCCTCACTGTCACTCTCTTTGTACCTTCTCACGCCCTCCAACAGAGTGAAGGCTATTTTTACACAGAATGCCACTGTTCTGCTCGAGCGCACACTTCTCCAGCACTGGCTGCTGCTTCAGGCTGCACTCTGCTTCACCACACATTTAGTCATACACACATATAGACACACACACATGAAGTCCCACAGTTCACAGCGATGCAAAATGGAGGAGGGTCCGTGTAGCTGAAGGCTAACCAGAACGAGAGGGAGATGACAAGCAGAAGGAGGAAGATGAGGAAGAGGAGGAAGAGAAGGGAGGGAGGGAGGGAAGGGGAGACGAGAAAGCCCACTGGGTGGAGGAGAGGAGAAATGAGGAGGGGAGCGATACCACACATGCACGGGTGCACATACAAAAACACACACAGAGAAATTCAGCTCAACCTCTAGTAATGTGGCTCCCTGCTGAGTCCGCAGTAATTGGAAGGAGAGAGAAGACAGACAAGAGAGAAGAAAGTGCACATAAGGATGACCTACTTTCTAGCAACATAAGTATCCAGATGAAAGGTCAACATCCTAAACTAATACAGGACTAGTTTATTAAATTAAAGCAAAATGCAATCATTTGATAGTCAGAAATCCATATATCTTCCTTATTGGTTATATCATGCCACTGTTACACTACCTCACCACTTGCAAAGCATTGCATCATCTACATCCTCATCACCATGACAACCTCACACTAAGTCAAATTGTAATGTTCCTGCCTCTCTCTGGGGTTTCTATCTCTGGTTCCTTCAGCCCCATGTCCAATGTGGGGCAAGACACTCAACCCCAAGTAGCTCACGCTGCGCCATGGGCAGCGTATGAATGTGTATGAATGGATTAGTCAATACTGAAGGACATTTTACATAGCAGCCTCTGCCATCAATGTGGTGTAAATGGGTGTGAATGGGTAGTTGTGACCTGTGATGTAAAAGCACTCTGACTAGTCAGAAAGACTAAAACATCGCCATACATTAAGCCCTAGTCCATTTACAATTAAGGTGGGTAATGATTGATGTCTGAGTGGACCTATCAATTCCCCTCAAAGTGTAGTTGCAGTTTCTGCTGAGGTGTGCAATACTCTGAAAAACTGCCATGGCACTCACACATCAGGGCAAGCCCATGAAGAGCCTGTGGTTATAATGAATAGAAGACAGTTTGATGTAACAGCCTGCAATGTTGAAACATATAAACCAACCCCCCCCCACCCTGTGTTGCACTGAAAGAAAGGATTTATAAGATATAAAAATTGCCCTCAAATATATGTGAATATTTGTGAGTGTGAGTGACTGCACATGTTACTGCTGTTGATTGAGAGACACTTGTAATCAGACTAAATGTCCTACACCTGAGCACGCACAGTAGGAGGAGCTTTTGTTTATTTAAGACCATGGTGGGGAATTGTTTGGTGGGGAACACACTTGACAAAGGTCCAGAGGGACAGAACCCTAACCCTAATAAATTGAGATGAGTAGTGTATCTATTTTAGTAGATAAATGAAGACTGGAAATCAAATTTCCTTTTGAATTCCACATCTTAATTTGTGATCTCTTCTGCTTGTGTCCTGGTTTGCACGTCTACGCCAACGTTCTTGAACCCAAATAACATTGAGTGAGATGTGGGGCAGGTTTCACCGCTTGGTGCGCAGATTGCATCAGTTCTGTCATTGTACATGAAGAGACTTGCGCTCGGATGATAACAAAGTGAACATTTCATTAGAGCTCTTCACTTCAACATGAACTCTTTTTCCCGCTATTAGCAGAACTACTTCTCATTCACTGTCTATATCGTATCTACCTTTTGACCGCTTCACAGTTTTGCTACCTCTTTTTACTTTGTCTGTTGGGATACATGTAGATGTCTCGGATGCCTTCACTTTCCTCTTCTCTCTTTCTGCAGATGGCAGCTTTTGATGTTTCAGCACTTTATGTTGTCAAATTCAAACTTAGAGGAAGACATAAGTTGTTTTGTTGAAGCCATATTTTCATACTTAGATTTTAGGGTTTGCTGATTCCAAAAAGCTTGAAGAAGTGTATCAGTTGGTTCGTGCAGCCAATGTGCATAGGCTCTATACTCAATGAGGCTGGCAGCCCGAGTTTAAGTCTGGCCCTTAGCAAGCTTTCCTGGTTTTCTACTCTATCCATTGTCCTAAAATGAAAAGCTCAGAAGTGAACCATAACTGAAATAATCAGTGACATATTCTGCATCAGGGAGTTAGGATGAAATGTTTTGTCATGAGATCAACTGAAAAATCCCTCAACACATTTTTCCGGCGTAATATACACATACAGTTTATTTCTGTTCTGGTGCAGGATTTAATCTAACACTTCTCTTCACAGTTGGAAGGAAGAGATGAGTGGAGGAGAAGATTACCAAGAGAAATGAATCCTGAGGAGGTTATGAATTAAGAGTGGAAAGTAGGAGATAGAATAAGGGGTATCGGATGGAAATAGAGAAATAAATTAGAGAAAGGGAGAAAGTATAGAGGAGGTGGAGAGATGGGAGGGTATGAATTATTGGAGCAGAAAACCAGTGAGGGAGAGAAAGAGATAAAATGGAGAAGGAGAAGCGAAACAAGAGGCAGAATAATGGAGGAGGAAAAAAAGGTAGGAAAGGCAAAGTAGAAGAGGAGAGAGGACTGACACAAAAAGCTGAATCTTCTTCCTGGTTATGTAATGTGAACAGGTTTCACTTCCATGCAGATCTTTTAAAAATCTGCTCAGTGGAGCCTCTTTAATTATGTAATATTGTTGTGTGAGAGAGCAGCGTGGGTGCAAGGCTGTATATGTGTGTTTGTGTTAATGTTTACACATTATGTTTTATAGCCCACATTACACTGTCACCGCTCTCACTGCCCACCTGTTTTCTGTCTGTCCAGCCATTCTTCACAGAGGCAAATTTCAGACCAGGATTATGAGACCATCTCTTTTCTCCACCCATACTGTGTTGGAAGAGCTCATTTGTATGCTATGTAAACTAAAGGTGAGGCTGTCAGATTATAGCTGCATCACAATAGGCAGTAATGATTAATAGTAAGAAACCCAAGTACAATATGACCAAACAAAAAGTAGGATGAAAAGAAGGCTGATACCTAAAAAATGTATTAAAGCGACATTATGGAGGAATTCGTTTTGGCGCCCACCGAAGGTCTCTGAGTGCAACAGCACTGTTCTAAAGCACATGTAATGTATTAGCATAGCCAGATTGGCATCGTACAT